TTTCGGGATTTTGTTTGTGGCGATTTTAGCTGTCGAGATTTTGGCTGTCGGCATTTTGACTGTCGGTATTTTCACTGTCCGGATCATGACCGGAAATCTCCGATGCGGGAGCACCAAGGTCAGTGCCAAAAGCCGCCAAAAAGCCCGAGGGAAGTAGAGAGCAGAGAACAAAAAAAGGCACGGCGCTGTTTCTGCCGGGTTGTGGCCAACTCACGATTTTGCATTGGGGCCCAAGGAGGGCACCAATTCGTCCGAGACGCCGCCGCGTCCCGGCCATTATTTCCTCGGGCCGTCGGGTTTCTTGGGGCTGGATGGAGCCGGCAGAAGAATATTACCGCCCCGGGGGTGAATTTCAATTAAATACGGATGGGGCGAAATGCTCGAGATTTGGGGTGAAAAGTGCCAATTGCACCCACCCTCGCGGGTTATTTGCTAAACGGGGAGCGGAAGTATTTGGGTAGTATCGTCTATAGTGAGTAGTTGTCCATATTCTAGATCTTCGAAAACTATCATAAAATATCATAAAAAGAAAATAAATGGAAAAATGGGTACTTTCGCATTATCGGGGGGCCTCCTCTTTCCGTTAAGATCAATTTTTGAATATAAATAAAGGAAGTGTTTCTAACTGTTTTATACTATTCCTAAACATAAAAACTTTACAAATTTTGAGTAACAACCAAAAATATCGATCTTTTAATCAAAATGACCGATTTTCGACAAAAATGTCGAATTAACAAATTTTTTCAGTTTTTAAATAGTTTTTCCACTTGAAACAGAGCGAACCTTTATTAAAATTACTATTGAAATTAAAATCCGCCTCGATAATGCAAAAGAACCCATTTTTGTGTGTTTTAAAATGAATACATATCTACTTTTCAAGAAATACGAAAGTTAGGCGTCTGATTCAGCCACCCCCCCCCGATAATGCAAAAGAACCCAGTTTTATGCGTTTCTAAATTCAATACATTTATATTATTTCAATGAATACTAAATTTTAGCCACCGCCCCCCGATAATGCAAAAGAACCGCTTTTAACAAAAGGTCGATCACTCCGAAAAAGCCTTAAGGACATTTCCATTTGATTTCTGGGGTTATCTATCGTTTTTCGAAAATTGCCTATCATTTTGAACACGGGAAATGGACGGGGAGACGTATAAAACACCCCAGAACGGGCATAAATGTTGCTGGTTGACACTTGGAGGAGAAACGAGAGAGACAGATTGAAACTTGAGACGAACCACCTCGGTCGCGTCGCGAGGGCAACATATTCCCTCCAAATACTAATTTGCCAGAGGGGGCGCATCCGGATTGCGGCCAATTAAATATCGTTGGTGGCTACGAACGATCGGGGAACGCATCCGTTCCGCATCATATTTCGGTTGGCAACAGTTGGGGGTGGGTGGGCCATTTGGGGATGGGGGGAATGATAAGGGGGGTTGAGGGGGACGCCACAGGCTTCCGTATTCCGCAGGCTATGCACTTAATTGGCTTTGTTAGTCATAAGCGAGGAGCCAAGGGGGGGCGTGCAAATGAGGAGCGAGACGAAGGGAAGGTCGTCGAATCGTGAATTTGCAAGAAATTCGGGAAATAAAGTTTTTAGATTTTAAGCACAGGTTGGATTATTAAATAGGTAAGAGTAATAAATAGGTAATAAAGAGAGAGACTGAGCGAGAGAGAGAGAGAGAGAGAGAGAGAGAGTGAGAGAGAAAGTGAGAGCGAGAGCTAGAGATTTTCTGTGTGTGAGAGAGAGAGAGAGAGAGAGAGAGAGAGAGAGAGAGAAAGAGATATTGTGAGAGAGAAAAGGAGAGAGCGAGTGAGAGAGATTGTGTGAGAGGGGAAGAGAGGCGAAGAGAGAGAAAGAGAGATAGTGAGAGAGATAAAGGGAGAGATAGAGATAGAGAGAGAGAGAGAGAGAGAGATCCAGACGTCCATAAATATCTAGAGTTGGTTATCTTTTCTTTGGCATTATCGGGGGGGGATTTCCTAGAAATCCAGAAATACTCGACATTTTACGTATTTTGATAGTTTTAAATAAAATTTAACTTAAAGTCGAAAATCTATCCAAAAAACATAAATTTTAAAAATTCGAAAATTTGGTTGAAATATTTATATTTTTCTGTTAATAAAAAATGTAACGCTTTTACATTTGGAAATAGAGAGCTTCTAGCATGTCCGCTTTTTCTACCCTCCCGCCCACCCCACCCGATAATGCAAAAGCACCCAAAAAATACGCCGCCAAGCCTTGCCGATCCCTTTAGCCTAGATGCTACCGATCGAATCATGCGCCAAATTTGCCTAAAAAGCGCAAAACAGACGTTCGGCGGAAGTGATCTGTTGGCTCGGATGGCTTTTCGGCTCTCTATCTATCTCTATCTCTCTCTCTCTCTCTCTCTCTCTCTCTCTCTCTCTCTCTCTCTCTCTCTCTCTCTCTCTCTCTCCAGGAAGGATCTACTGATTGTGGCGCCAAAAAAGAATTAGCCTGCGGTGTGTGTATGTTGAAGGGGCTGGAGGATGGGCAGCACACGACTTTCACGCGTGGCGAGTCTCAGACCCGCCGAGAGGAAATCTCTTCAGAATATCCTCCCCTCCTGCCCTGCTTCCCACAACTTTTGAGGAATGAAAAGGGGCGTCGGAGGGCCGAGGCAAGGCTTTTCCCCACTTCCATGGCCATTGCAAGAGCACACTAGGCCCCTGGATGGAGATGGGCTTTCAGGTCGACAGACCGAAGGAGGAGCGAACTAGGCAGAGAAAGGTTATCAGGGAATGGGAATTTTGGGTGGGCTTAGGCTTAGGTCTAGGCTTAGCTTAGGCTTAGGCTTAGGCTTAGGATAGGCTAGACTAGGCGTAGCTTAGCCTTAGGTTCGTGCTTAGGCGTTCGGGTAGACTTAGGCTTACATTAGGCTTAGGATGCTTAGGCTTAGGCTTAGGGCGCTTAGGATAGGCTTAGGCTTAGCTTATGCTTAGCTTTAGGCTAAGACTTAGGCTTAGGCTTAGGTTAGGCTTAGGATTAAGCTATTCAGGCTTCGGTTCATTCTCGGGTTCGGCTAAGGCTTAGGCTTACTGTAAAGTGTTTTTACTCAGGCTGGCGTTTTAGGATGGGACCAAGCCTATCTTGTTCAGAATTTTTTGCTGATTCCGAATCCGTTTTCCAAATTTGCTGCGGGCTTCGCATTCAAAAGTCATCTGGGGGTCTAAATTAAGCTTAAAACCGGCCTAAATTCGGATGCTGGCCCACTATTGCCTGTCTGGGTCCAGTTGATGTTGTGCCCCTTATCTACCCTCCCGAAGCCCCCTTCACAGTTGGCACCATGGTGCATTGGGAAGCTGTTCGCTTGCCAAGCACAGGGCGGCGGTTCAAACCCCGCCCTGTACAATTTCTTTTGCTTTTTGCACAAAACATATGATTTTTTGCATAAAATTGTGCTTTGACCTCTAAAACCGTTACCGAGCCAGTTTTAACCTCGGAGTTGACGACAACTTAAAAAATAACGCAAAAAATCCAGATTTAGTACATTTTTTTAGTATAAATGTCGAATAACTTTTTAAATAAGGTCGGCAGCAAATTTGGAAACCAGATTCGGAATCAGCGAAAAATTCTGCACAAGATAGGCTTGGTCTCATTCTAAAACGCCAGCCTGAGTAAAAACACTTTACAGTTAGGCATAGGGTGCTAGATAAAAAAGAAAGGTGTTTTTAAACCACGCTGTCCGTACTCAAAAACCCGTAATAAAAAAGCCGAGTCCTCGCCAGCAACTAGCTCGAGACAAAGCCCCCGACACCCACTAACAAACTTTGGCACCCGTCCGCGCTAAAGTTTCTTCCAAATTGGGTGTGGGTGTGCAGGAGGTGAGTTCCGGGGTAGACCTCCCGGTACACCTCCAGAAAGCCGTGCCCAGCATTGGCCATATAGAGCCACATAGACACAGCATCCGAAGAGCCGACTAACTAATCAGGACGACGACCCCAGCAGGCAGTGCATGGGACTCCCATCCACCCATTTGCACTGATGAGCTCGTCCGATATGCCATCTCGGCCACGCCTTCAGCCGGGGGGTACATCAGCAAAATGGAAACACGGCGGGGTACGGTGTCTGCCCTAGAGATTGGTCCAATTATACCCGGCCTGTCTGTTGTTAAAATTACATTACTGTCTAGTGCACAGTAATTATAGTGTGTTACCATGATTGACTTTACCACCACGCGACGGATTCATGATATTTCGTGACCCCATAATTATAACGTAAATTGTTTATAAAAGTCCAGAAGTGCGTAATAATATGAGTACTTTAATAGTGTACTTATTAAAATGCCACTATCTTCGGCTGGAGAAACTATCTAATGAAAAACTAAACTTTGGCCAAAACGACGGAATTTTGTGCGAATCGTTTACTTTCGGTCGAAAAATCTATTTTTACCAAAAAAAAAATCAGTTTTTGCGCTTGGCAATAGTAAAAAATATGTAGAAAAGCTTATTTTATTCATATTGGAAAAACTCGAGCCTAAAAAAGTACCCCCCCCCCCCCTCCCCCGATAAGGGGAAAGAACCGACGAGATGAGAGTATAACGGCTAGCGACACCATTTTTTTGACTGCTGGTAAAGGATCTTGTCGGGGATAAGTTTCCATCGATTTTTTTTGCTAAATTCCAAAGGTACCTAGCTTTAACATCTAGTTAATCCAACCCCCCTCTAAAGCTTGTCACCTCGAAAAAAACCCAGAAAATTCTGAATGGCTGCATGCACGAAAAAATGAGTAGGCGCAGACAAGTGGCCCTCCATCGTCGCTTATAAACCGCCGAGACAATGGACGATGGCCGCGATGACGTAAACTCAAAGAAAGACACGACCACCACCCTTCCGGAAAATTAAGGTTGAGCCATGGGTGAAAGAAGCGCGAGAAAACCCCCCGCTAATTCTAAGCATCAAAAAAATTAGAATATGTTGAAAAAATAACCTAAAAAGAAAGCCTGGTAATAATTGCGATTATCTCGCCTGAACGTTCCATGAGAGCGGCTTTATTCCAGAGGTTCAGGTGGTACTCTTAACCAAATTATAACTTTCGTTAAAAACCTAAAAATATTACGTTACAACCCTATTTTTAGATGTGCCCTCTCCAAGCTGGGCACAATGGTAGAAAACGTGTTTTCACAAACAAGAACTGATTCCAGGGCAAGCGTCCGAAATCCTCTTTCGCCCAGAACGATGTTGCACAACTCACCGCCCTGTCCTCACCCCGTTTCTCCAAGCAAGTAGCGCCAAAACTTTGATGACTCAAGGGAAATTTCCAGGGAAAATCGCCCACATTGAGTGAGCAGCTGAGCGCGGCGAACGACTTTGAATCCACTGTCTACTTCTGACGGCCCGTCGCTCAACGTGAAGAAAGAAAGCTTGGCACGCGGCTCTACCTTACAACAATCTTTAAAGAAAGCACTCCCTTAAATTCGGAACTTCCATGATTAATAAAGGTTAATTGGCGAGAGAATTGGTCGTTTTCTCGGTGGTAAAAGTCTCGAACTGAAACGTCGGCCAAGAATTTTTACATTTTTACTTATTTTGCTTTTTTCGGCATTTTCTTTCCCGTTTGGCAATTACTGCATGGAAGTAGCCCATCAGTAGTACGATCTAAAGCTAAAGATCTAATTTACTCATCTTACAAGAGGTGTTTCTTTTCCAGACCGTGAAAGCTGCACGAAAATTCGAAAGAGCGCGGCCTTCCGACCCGTTCCAATTCCCATTGAGTGCCCTTTCGACCGTAACCCTCGTCACCCCTGCGCGTTCAGGCTGCGGATCGTAAGCAACCCCCGGCCATTTTACAAAGATTTTGTCAGCATAAACCCCTTTTGCTAAACTTTTGCTCCGTTTTTATCTTCTAACGCACCCGATTCATTTTATTCCTTTGCAGAATGTCTCTACCAGCTTTGCACAAAGAATTGCTGCAAAAATGGGGCAACGAAAAGGACCGGAAGCTCGACCAAATTGAGGCTATCGTCAAGAACCTCAAAAACGCTCTGGAAGATGGCGATCAAGTCGGCAAACTCGATAGGAACGCCTTAATCACCATCAACAGGGACGTCTACGAGATCGATGCCCTCGTTGCCGCACTCAATGGTGACTTGAAGGCGTTTGATACGGCCATTTCGAACATCATGGCTTTCTACGCCTCGCTGCGCGATGATTCGCCGAACAAGCATCTTCTCGTCGGCCTCAATTTGATGTTTTTGCTGGTTTCGAATCGCCTCTCGGACTTTCACGTCTTGCTGGAGCAAATCGATCAAAGCGTGCAGTCGGGCAATCCCTACGTTTCGACCCCCGTCAAGATGGAGCAGTCCCTGATGGAGGGAGCCTATAACAAGATCGTCCTCACCGAGAAGAATATTCCGAGCCCTTATTACGCGCCTTTTGTCCGGATAATGATGGACACGGTTCGTAGCGAAATTGCATCGAACCTCGAGAAGTCCTTCAAACAATGTCCGGTTCGGGATGCCCAGACCCTGTTACTGCTCGACGACCAGGCTAGCTTGAAGAAGTTTGCCGAAGCCCGCAAATGGAAGCTCGAGGGCACCAACTACAACTTTGGTGATGAAAAGATGGAGACCGGTGACCTGCACAAGACGGGCCTCGATACCCAGCGAATTGCTCGCCAAGCCATCTATTATGCAAAACAGCTTGAAATGATTGTCTGATCTCTTTGTGATCTTATTACGAGTAATGTGCATATTTATTTTTCGTCGGCTCGTTTTGGGAGGATGTCAGAAGCGCCAAAGCAAAAGCGCCAATCACTAAAGCGCGCAGGCAGAAGCGCCAAACGAAAAGCGCCCAATGCCCAAAAGCGCCCAATGCCAAAAAGCGCCCAATGCCCAAAAGCGCCCAATGCCCAAAAGCGCTCTATGGGGAAAGCCAACGTATGGAGAGAGGAAACAATTACATAAAGTAGAGATAAAATAGTTGTTTTAATAGGTTTTCTGGTGTTATTATGGTAGTTTAGCGGCAGTTCGTCCTACTAGGCCATAAATTACCGACTGGGTGAAGTTATTTTGGCCTCCTAGGGCATTCTTTCACTCGAATAGCTAGTTCTCTTCTAAAGCAGCTTTTCCACTATTTTTGACGTAGTGTCTTGATCTCTACATGCTCGAACCGGTCCGAATATACATTTCTAATGTGAGAAAGGTATAAAGTCGCCGTGGAAAGCTTGTTTAGTGCCATTTTCGGATCCATTACCCGGAAATACGGCGTTTTTCTCGTCGTTCTGGCCTCCAAACACTGTTTTATAACAAGTATTTCGTGCTTGCAACAGTATTGTGACTGAAAACATCAGAAATCGTGAGAACATGAGGCAAACCCGGTAAAACTAGAGACTGAAACACGGCAATTCAAGCCAAAAAGACCCAATAAGGCCAAAACAACCCGCTCGGGGTGATAATTTGCCGTCTACAAAGCCTACCTATCGCTAAACAACGTTTAAAAGGCATACAAAGCTTGAAAAAAGCCATTTTATGTAATTGTTTCCTCTCTCCATACGTTGGCTTTCCCCATAGAGCGCTTTTGGGCATTGGGCGCTTTTGGGCGTTGGGCGCTTTTTGGCATTGGGCGCTTTTGGGCATTGGGCGCTTTTCGTTTGGCGCTTCTGCCTGCGCGCTTTAGTGATTGGCGCTTTTGCTTTGGCGCTTCTGACATCCTCCCCTCGTTTTCCGTCGGGTCTTTTCGCTTTTGCAAATAATCGCGTGCTGCTTTTGATGATTAAATGGATTTAGATGACGAAGGGTACGCAGGCGTTCGGAAAGAAGCACAACAAGACCCACACGTTGTGCCGACGCTGCGGACGGTCTTCCTACCACATCCAGAAGCACACTTGTGCTTCGTGCGGATTCCCCGCGGCAAGGAAGCGCACCTATCAATGGTCGACCAAGTCGATCCGTAGAAGGACAACTGGCACTGGCCGCATGCGTCACATGAAGACTGTCCACCAAAGTTCAAGTGAGTATTTTTTAATTTTTGTAGTATTTGGTATTCTTTTGCTACCTCTGGTTATACCGAAAGGTATATCCTCGTGACTCTTCGGAGTTACATGACAGTCCTTTGAGTTCACTCGTGAGCTACATTGGGCATATTTGACCTGGCTTTTCAACCTCGGTTGATAAGTCTCTGGGCACCAGCGGCCCAACCTTTTACCTCACACTCTCTCTCTACTCATATAGTTATTAACTCGTTTAAGAGTTAATACTTTATTTTTATTCATTTATTAATTATTAGCGGTTTTTTTTTTGTCTGGAAACATTCGAGGGTGCAAAATTCAATCTGATCCGAAGAAAATTTGAAAAATCTTATGACGTTTTATTGCCTTTCTTTGGCCAGATCTATTTTTTCAGGAACGGCTTCCGCGCTGGAGGAGTCGCCAAGCCCAAGTCTGGAGCCCAGAGTAATATCGCCGGAAATGCCTAATTGTTTTTTTGTTGATTGTTGAGAATAAATCGGTTTAATTGCGAAAATCGCGGTTTACGTCTATCACGCTCGAAAGACAAAGATAGTGCCGTAGGAACTTTATAATGTGTAGATTGTTGAAAGACCGTAATTCTGAGGAACGCAGGAATAGAATTTAGTTAGAAAACGATACTCTTTTCGAAATTCGCTTGGGTCTTCTTATATTTTCTTTCAATGTTGAGTAGAGAGGCTTTCATCCGCTTCAGCAGTTCTTTGTAGTGAGCTCGCGTCTAAATGATTTTACGGGTATCCCGGCCTTCATTACCTTTTTTAGTTCGTCCTCTTTTGCAAGTAGTTGAGCAGCTGCATAGTTTAGTTGTTTCTCGGCTTCCGGGTTGATGATTAGTTTTTTCCTAAACGGATTCATTTTCGCAGCTATAAACTACTTCAATGTCACGATCGTCTCATCCAGTTGTTGTTTACTCTTTGTTTCCGCTTCCAGTCTTGCAACCAACGATGCTAGCTCTTCTTTGTGTCGCTTTCTTTCCAATTCTAGCTTCTGCTCTAGGTTTTCGTGTCTTTTTGTAGCTTCTTTTTTCAGGTGCGCCGTCTCTTCGATGTCGGTGGCCGTCTCTATGCGTGGCGAGGGTTTTGCTTGCTCTAGAAAGGTATTATTTAGCGTTTTTCTTGGTAGAAAACCTAATGCTTGGGATTCCTTTATTGTATACTCAGCTTCCAGCTTGTCGTAGATTTGGCGCATATTCTTTTTTGAGTGCTCAAAGTCGTTTAGCAATCGCGTTTCCTGAAAGGGGGTATTATTTTCTGCTATTTCCCAGCCGTGTCAATGGTTTAATTGGGGGTACGACGTTAGTACTCACATCTTGCTTCCATGATGCTTCTCTTTGTAGGCCTTCTAACAGGACTTCGTTGAGCTTTCTGAACGAATTTAGAGCCTTTATGCCTTGAACATACTTTTGGAGAACCTGGAGCTCCTCAGCTTTACGATGAAGCAGGCGATCTGCCTCTGACTGTGCTGCTTGTAACCTAGGATCATTTGGCATTTGCTTCCTTTCCCCTAGCCTCTAACCTGTGAATCTCTGACGCATCTTCCTCGCGCGCTAGCTGCTCCCTTTCACGTAGACGACGCTCACGCTTTAACTCTTCTTCATACTTGCTGTTCGTCGAGAGAAGCCGATCGCTCAGCTAGGGGAAAAGATAAATTTTGTAAAATATAGCTACCTCTCGACACCTCCTTTCTAAGCCCCGGATCTCCTCGCGGTATTGTTCCGCGTGCTCACTGGCTTCGGAGGTTTTTGCTGCTCTAGGAAATTCTAATTAGTGATTTTGTTCACCCCGACACACCTTTCTGTTTGGAGTTTTGCAATGGATTTAGCGGTTTCCTCCTCGAAATAGGCATGTAATCGACGTTCTTTGTCGTGCCACTCTTCTGTTGCTTTTCTAGATTCCACCCTTTGTTCTCGAAGCCTAAATGACTGGATTGTAATTTCGGGTCGGCTTACATATCCTCTAGCTTTAGGTTTTTCGCTTGCAACATTTGGCGTTGGTGGTCGACTTCTTCAAGTCGTCGCTCATACTCGACAAGTTCCTAAAGTCTTTTAATTTTCGTTCTATCGATGGTAACTTTGAATAACTTATTGTAGAAAACCGGGGAGATCTAGCTGGCCCTAAATGGTAAAATTGCTCACCAGCTTGAAGGATTCGCGAACTTCGGATAAAGTAGTTGCCCGAAACAGCTCGTTTTTCACTTCTCGATCCTGCCGCTCTGCTGCCAACTAAATACCGGATCATATCTTTAGTGATTTTAGATGCCTGTTGAATCAGGGCTCTGCTCTGCTGCTCCAGGGTGTGGAAGTTTTGCTGCAACTTCTCGGTGTTGCTCTGTCTAGCCAATAGCTGGAATATTAGGTTACGGGAATTTCTGTCAAAACCGACCACTTCATTTTGTTGGGTAACCTCGTGAAGGCGCTCTTGTAATTCCACAAATTTTTGTTTTAGTTGGCGATAGTTGTCTTGGGTTTTGAGGACCAATTCTCTTTCCGCCTAAAAGATTAGTTGAATTCTTGGGCATCGAGAAGGTTATTGAATAAAAAATGGGAAGAGAACTTACCTCCAAAATTTGTCCTAAATCGGCTGCAGATATTTCTTCTGCGTTCATCTTAATAGACTACGTTGCTATGGGAAGTTCGACATTTGCCGGTCGTCTCGTTGATGCAGCAGAAGAATAAATAGTAACTTCGATTCTACAGGGTGGCCCGAAAGAGTGGTGACCGAAACTTTTTCAATTTTCTGAAAAACTATAGATCGAGGAAAACTCATTTTAGCACATTATATTCCTTAAACAATTATCTTCCACATGGTATAACCACTTTTTTATTTGTTTGCCTCAAACTCGGAAAAACTGGCGCGGAAGCGGATGAAAAACGGAGGTGCTGGCACGCAGACACTCAGCCCGAATCTGGCTCATAACTCGATGAAGACTTTCGCGAGCGAACCCAAAATGGAATCGGGAGTAGCCAACACTTTGGCCTTTCAGACCGGCTACACAAAACAATTGTGCGGGTTCGGGTTGGGGCTGCAGGATCGCTCTTTTTGGCGAGCAAAAAACGGTTTGGTCAAAACCCTTAATAACGGGCCTCAGTCACTTGGCCAAGTTGGAGGGTTCTGAACCATAGCTGCACCACGAGCTTCACCGAAAACGTCAGGCACGCTCGTTAAAAAGATGGAAAAGGCATCGTTAAGTATTTTCTTCCACAGGAATTTATTTTAGATTTTGTCGATTTCAAAAAACCCATGACTTTCAATTATGGAATTAAATTCCTAATGTAAAAGCTAGACTGCGTTGTGCGCTGAGTGTATGCTCAAATTTAGCCAACATCTATAGGAAACAGAATCCATAACCCCGCCTTGCCCAAACCCATAAGGGAATAAGAGAAATTCTGTGTGCAAGCTGCGGTCACCACTCTTTCGGGCCACCCTGTAGAGAGGAATTTTATAGTTTAAGCAGATTAAGAAATAATGGATTATTCGTATTTCGATCGAGACGAGGACAATAATATTGTATTTCTCTTCCGGGGGCAGGTGGTTGGCTGGTTGCCATGCACCTTTGGGCCACCAGCTGGCACCAATTCATGCGTTCTGCTTGGAGAGAGCAAAAGAGTAGCCGATCCCATCCATGGAGCCCTTGGAAAGCTTCTAGTATATCTGATTTTTTTCAGCAAGATGGCAGCTACCCCAGGCATATGGCAATACACGACGCATTTTCGAGGCTAAGCTTCACTCCAGCTGAGCGGAAGGAGGACCAAGATGTGAAGCTGGCTACGAAGTGCGCTCAGCCAGTCAGCTCATCACCGCAAAAAGATGAAGAGCCATTAAAACCTGCAAAACCGAGAGGTAGTTTTTGGGTTTGTAACGACATTTTCCTGATAATGACATCCCGTTACCTTCCATTTCAGAAAAGTCAAAATGGGCTCTTCAGCCCCGCGCCGGCTTGGACGAACGGAAGGTGAATCAACTACTCGAAAAGGCGCTGACTTTCAAGTACCCCAACAATGAGCAAGGCCATCGTGTCCCAGCGCATGAAAAGCAGAAGTAATTAGTTTTTCTTTCTTGCAATCGTTTTATTTTCGGTCTTCCATTCTGCGGATGATCAACGCATCCCGGTCTCCATTGAAGAAGAAAATGTACTACATTACGCTTTTCAAGCAATGCTCCGACTGGATCGAAGAAGATGTAGAGTGTAAGGGCTTTTAATCAGTTTATAAGGTACATTTAGTGGTGATACACTACTTGAATGCTCATTACGATGCGTCGATCGCCTTCGAGCGGTCCCGGAAAGGCAGAGACTATCTGGCAAGACGGCAACTCGAACTGGGTGACCTGAAGTTAGATGCGCAAGACGTCAAGGTGAATCATCAATTCCGGGTTGTAAACAAGATTTAGGCCTATTTTATTTTGTCTTGTTATGCCGAGGATCAGAAGAAGCGACACGATTTTTGGCCGTTGTTGTGGGATATGAACTGGTGGGTATCTTTTTGATTTGCTAATTTTGCTGTTGAAGTTTGACTCATTGGTTCGTGCGGCGGATCGGCTCTTTTCCCACGGATTTTCGAATTTGGTCTACTCAGATGGAGATAAGCTTTCTGTTTCGCGGGCCGAGAAAGCTTTTTAGAAGTTTGTAAAGTCCACACACCATTTGGAGCTTGATCACCGTACGTTATGGCTGTCGCCAACACGTGCACACCAATGCTCTTGATGTGCCAATACTCGTCCTTCCCGATTGTTTTATGTTGTAGATTTTGAGTTGTTTCTCCCTTGTTTTATGTTGTATATTTTGAGTTATCCCACCCATGTTGTCGTTAATAAACTGTTCAATATACACTGCGCGCAAAAATGGGCACCGTTTATTCGACTAGAAATGATTTCGACATAATTTACAGCCAGGAATATAAGGGGTTGTTTGTCGCTTGTTTAAGAGTTGCTCCTGCATCCGATCGTGCGCTTCACAGGTCCTTCCACACTCCATTAACGCAAACCCGGCTTGGCGTCATCGCGGGGCACTCCAGCTGGAAGGGAAGGAAAGGTTTTATCAAGAATTTTGGCGTCACCTTGAATTCAATATTCGATGGCTCGCCCGTCTCCAGGTTGCGCACCGCCACCGAGGCCGAGATCAGCACCCCAAAAGCGTTGCCTGGGAGGGGAGACACTTTTGACTAAAAAAAATGTGGTTTGTGGTGCTGGGTGCTGACCTCCTTGCCGATTTCGATGGCAAAGCGTTCCGAGTCTTCATCCACCTTCTCGCTTTTCTAAATCACGATTTCTCGAAACTCTTAGAACTCAACCTTGGCGATGACCTTCTTCGATTTCGACTTCTTTGACTTGGACTTTGTCAGTTTTCGGGGCTTTCTTTTCTTTTTCTGGCTCTCTGTGGGCTCCTCGCGCTTGACAGTTGTTTCGGATCCCTGAGAAGGTGTTGCAAAGCGTGAAATATTCAGCTACCGATCGATTGTAGGAGACTGTAGCCTTCGGGAGCTCATCAGCCGGGTTGGCGCCAGGGTTTGGGCTGGCCCTGGTGCTCATCTGCGTCTTCTCCACGTCAAGCTCGGGATCCGCGGCGGGCTCCGGCTTCTTCTTGCTGGCCTGAATTGAGTCATTTAGGAAAGGCGGTTTTTGGAGAGGGGGATCTTTCAGCTACCTTTTTCACGGCAGCACTTTTCTTGCGGCTTTCGAGTGTCGGCGTTGTTTTGATAAGCGAGAGAAGTATCTGTCGGTATTAATCTGACGACCATTTGTCACATCGATACCTGCTCGGTTGTATCGAAAACACGTTGGTAGGTGGTGCGTCGATGAGCGGCCGCAGCCGCGTCCTCCGCGTCGAGCATAATGCAATGAAAATTATACGAATGCCGTGGTGTCGATTGGCCAGGATGTAAATTGTTTATTCTAGTTTACAAGAAAGACAACACATTTCGACAACCGGTATTATCAATATGACAAAATGCTAATTGTAATGTGATGGATGAGAATCAATTGGATGCGCCGGCCAGCCACTTGTAGCCGCTTGGTTCAACCTAAAGCAAGGTTAAATTGAAGGGTGTAAACGTACAAATAACTCGTTCCACTCGACATTCGATGCCACAGCAATATTTAGTCCATTGCACGCATTACGATCAAATACCTAGGAGCGCGTTAGGTCCTCTGGAAGTGTCTTACCTTGATTTGGAGCTTATTATCGGGGGTGACCATCTCGGCGATGCGAAGGAAAGTACAGGTCTAAACCGGAAATGAGCAGACTTTTGGAAAGCTTACCGCTGCGATATGCTCGTTCAAGATCGGTCCTCCCTCAATCTCACAAACGTAATCAATATCTCCGTTGGTGCGTCGGATGATTTGCGACGACTTCTACAACCACTGATATACTAGCGATTCTTTCAATGCACAAACCCGATAGGGGATCAGTGGAGCACGTAGGAACTGATGAACTGACACCAATGTCGGAGGCAATCCAGCCAAAGGACCTAAAAAATTATTTGAAAAACAGGTTGCTGAACACACCTGACAGTGCACATGTCATTCGCTTTGAATCCGGGTCTATCAGGAGATCGCGTAGTTTTTTCAAAGACGAGTTTGACTAAAGCGAAGTTTGATATATTTAAGCAACCCGTCACCCTGATGATAATTGTATTCGGGCGACGATCATCCACATTCCGTAGGCTCTCATAGGAGCTACTGAAAAGAAACAGTCAAAAAAATTGGTATCTTTATGCTTACTGTCGCGCCAGCTTCGGAGTGACACCATTATTTCGAGCACGAGCGCTATCCAAATACGCCTTCGTTGGGCTGAATTGATATTTTCAAAGGGAAATCACTATTCTTACCTGTTCTCGTCGGGGTCATCCTCACTCTCTGACATCGCCGGCTTCCCCAAGCAACTATTTGAGGACTTTACGGGGGTACGGCTGTTTCCACAATCTAAAATTGGGGCTGAATTGGTTTTATAATATCTTTACAAACCAAAAGACGGCGGCTGACTGCAGGTGAACGGGTCGGCGACGTGCTGCTCTACCATAGGCGACAATACGTCGGCGGACTTGCTGCCACTGGGGCGCTTGGCAAGTTCAAAATCGACTCCTAAAAATGGGTTAAGCAGCGTGCTGCGAACAAACCTTCTTTCTTAAAATAGTGTCTCAGGGAATAGTTGGTATGTGACACAATTGCCGCTCGCATTTTGCCATCCATTCTCGATGATTGTGAATTCGCATCTTCATGCGCATCATCCTGAATGGGCAAAATTAGAAGCGACTTATTTATGAAAAAAAGTAGAAGTGTCAATTCATCGGAATCACTCACCTCCGAGGAATCATAGGTGGTGAAGAGGACGGTAAAAAGTGGCCCGCATACGTAAAACGACTCACACATCCCTCGCTTCCACGCATCGAACAGTGAGGTAAAGCAGTGTTCCCTGAGAATATGTTAAAGGGAAATGAGAGGTGGTTACCATTGTGCGGTGATTATCTCCTTCTGTTCCGCGCTGAGCAGGGCGCCTTTGCCGGTGGTCTGAAAATGGATTTTCCGAAACAGATTTACACAGTCATACCTTGGTCAAGGCTTCAAGCCGGGGGTAGAAGCCGAGACCCGGAACATCGGGGTAAATGTAACACATCGACGCTGCTTCGAGGAATGGCAGGGATAGGTCCTCAAAGGCCTAAAAACAAAACTAAAGTTCTGAATGCCAACTGACCATTTCCCCATTTCTAAACAATTTCATCCCATACGTCAATTCGGGCTCCATGATTTTTACGGGTACATTACCTGGAAATAAGCATAAAAGTTCTGAAGAAAAACTCACATGGCTTCTTGACATCCCCTTTCATCCAGGGAAACGGTATTTTGGACACGATGCGCATCTTTGTCCCCGGGCGAAGATCGACCGGCTGGCTAGTGCTATGGCTAAACAGGGAAATAATTAATTAAGGTAAAACCAACTAACCAAAATTCGGGCTCTCGCGCCTTTGGTGTCGAATTCCGGGAGTTCGTTAAATCATTGGACATGTCAAAGTTGAAGAGATCAGCGATAGGATCCTGAGAACACGGAAAAAATTATAACTTCTCTGTAAAACTCACCCCTACACTATACGATAACGGGCGATCGAGTGCCGGTCTTTTTGAGCCCATAGATCTGAAAAAAGATCACATTGTTAAAAATACGTCCCTACCGTCGCAACCGGTCCGTATAATCAAAATCCAGGGCCCGTGTATCGTCATAGACAAAATCTGAACGGCGGGTTAATCGCTTAGGCTACAAATTACCTTTCTGGACTGGAGCAACTTTAGATGGAGTAGTGCTAGTCGATGGGCGTTGCCGCTTCCGAGGAGAACGCTATGGATATGAATTGAATCGTGAAAATCCATGCTCACCCTTAGGAATGGGTTGGCAGGAGACGCTACGGGGGTCGCAGCGGAAGAGCTTGGCTCGAGGCTTCGAACGGGAGGCGTGCTCGGCGATGGGGAATCCAGGTCCAGGCGTTGGCGGCTAAAAACACGAAATTAAATAAGAAAACATTGCTTACGATTTGCCGATGAGAGATCTTCGGTAGATGACCTCACGCGGGTTTTTCCATGCTGGCGAGGCCATTTTGCGCTTGGATGGCCTTGGTGGCGACATTTCTCTAAATTTAGAGTTATTATGATTTTTAGCGGATACCGTAGACTAATGGTACAAGAAAGAAGAAAATGAAGGGGTGCTAGTGCGTTAGCGGTGGGGGACAGCGTTATCCGGGTGAAAGCCAATTGCTTTTAAGCAGCCTGGTCTCAAAATAAAAACATTACTAACAAAAATTCTAAAAGGCTTCCGGCAATTAAAATTGTGGAGCATTTTTCCTACGTTTTCAACAAGTATAACGGCTAGAGGATAGGTGTAGGATAAACTTAGCCCCCCCCCGCTAACGAACCAGTACCAATTAAGGTATGAAGCGAATATATGAACTCTGACGTTCCATTTCATGCACGATGGCATTACCGGGAATCAAATGGCGTCCCCGCCGCCGTATATCCCTTTCACAGTTTCTCGACGATCTTATCCACCTCAAATTCAAGGTCGGTTCCGGCCCGGGCGAGACGGCGCCCCCCAAAAAGAGGGCCCCCGAGACAAATGGGGGCGATGGCCAGGGGCTGGGCCCTCGATATGGATGTGGCCAAGGGTGAGGACCTCAGGGGTCGGGGGCCAAGCGTTCCCGTGGGACTTCATACGGGGCACCGCACTCTCGGAGACACAACGCTTCAAAACGCCCGCTCACGGCCACCACGCGCATCTAATTTCCAATCTGGAATCGATCACGGAGTTTTTGCACCGAGAAGATGGCGTTTTACTTTGCGCTGATGAATGTGTCGAATAAGCGGAGCGATGATAAGGGGAGACAGTCACAGAGGCATAGTCGACGTCATGCAAGTTTTTTTTTGTAATGATGTGAAAAAAATGTTGCAGGCTCGTCGACATAGCATCGCAAGCGTCGAAGAACCGCTGAATGATTACCGACTATTGCCCAAGTAGGTCGCCAGGATTAAAGAGACCGGCAAGACATGACTATGGAATTTAGCAGCAATGGGTTTTCAATACATTCTACCACTCCCGCGACACGCAACGCGCGTCAGCCATTCCATTGCGCAATGAATTAAGACCTTTACGTCAACAGCCAATCAGAAAGTCGGCGTAAAACCTATCAAATTCAAAGCTAGGAAAATCCCTATTCATGCCTGCCGGTCCCTTTAAAGCGCTGCGTTAGTCTCTGAGACCTTTCTCCAACCGAAAATTAAAGTAAAACCCGAAGTTTAGACCACTGGTGATGAAAAATGAACTGGCCAAAGAGCATCTACCACTAACCCGCTCTACCCGCGACGACATCTTCCGCCTGCGCGATTCTTCTATTTCCTCGAGGGACGAAACCCCACCACCCACCACTGAATTTCTACCCTCATTGAAGGATCGAACCCTAACTGATTTAAAGGTACGCAGTTACTACATCATCCCAGGAGCGTAAATTATAGCAACTACGTCTAAATCAGCTGTCGCTACGCCGAGAATCGAGCGATACGGACGAGCCGACGTGTAGTAGAAGATTAGCCGAAATGGATAGGTTCAACACGAGAGAGGACAGCGCGAGTGGAGAAGAGGATTTTAGGTTAATGCAAGCGAGATTACGCAGAGGTAACGTATAAAGTTCGGGGTTCACCGTTATTAGGAATCTCCCCCATCGATTCCCCAGCCCGTTCCGCTTCTGTCAGAAGCTCTATCGAGGAAAGTCGAAGGACAAGCAAAGCCAGTACCGTCTCAAGTGAAATCCTAATCCCTCCAATTACAGGTAGGATAGATACCCAGCCTAAAAATAATCATCTAGAAATGGGACCCCGGAATTCCAAGCTCTACCAGAATTCCGAGACGTCGCAGGGAACCAATCTAGTGCCCATCGTGGAAAACAAGTAAAAAAAATCCGTACTTTTTTAGCGAATTTAGGGCGATCATTGCAAAGCGGGTGACGTTCGACAGCAGCAACAACTCTGTGATTATTGGGAACCATTTTTTAGGTCAGTACATTAAAGGGATGCTCATTTTCAGTTATAGGCGACCGAACCCGTTTGGCGAATGCGGAATTACTAACGGGGGACAGCCGACCGGCGGCACAGCAACTGTGCAACCAAGCCCCAGGCACCAAGGTACGCACAAAAACTTGTTCAGCCAGCTTAGAAGTCACTAGATGAAGTTTTCATCCCTAACAATAATTTCACGCTCAACGAGCATCTGCTAACTACATCCCAAAATCAACGCGTTTAGAAAGAGGCAGCCGGTGGCGCCAGTTTGTCCGCGCCCTATTCAACAGGTGACAAACCACAAATTAAGCTACAAAAAAAGCCTCTAGGAAACCTCAGCGACACACCGATCCGCACGATTCTCCAAAACGCAACAAACGAGCACGCAGAAAGGGAAAAAGAGGAGGAGGAGCAGAATAAGGGGTAGGGTATCATAGGAATTTCCAAATTTACCTGGATCTACTGACACTTCTTCCAGTTCGCGGCTGGTTCGAAGACGCTCCACTTCCGATCGAGGAGCGTCCTTCTGCAACAGAGGGTTTATGTTGCTGAACGAGGAGCTCGGCAAGGCGGAAAACGTTAAATCAAAGGGACTGACCACGAAATGATAATCCTCGGGAATATTTGACCCTAATCCAAATAAACACCATTAATTGCAAAACAGAATTATTTATGTAGCACACAACAAAAAAACCATTCAACCAAATCGACAACTAACAGCTCCTATTTTCCTACGAGGCGGACTTTACACGAATACACTTCGTACGCCCTCTTGATATCGCGGTGGTCCCTCGCTCGGCTCCGTGAATCGACTGTAGAAATAGTGGTCAACGACCTGAATAAACTTTTGTAAAGACCAAACAACTACCCACCCTCTCTTTTTCCAGCAATTCTTTCGGCAGTGTCCCTTGTGATTTCCTTATTCGCCACATAAAATTATTCAACGGGTGATCCGGTCCATAGAAGTACCTGAAGTGGAATGTAATTTCAACTCATAAGAATTAAATTCTCAGAGTTACAAAGACGAAAACGTTTTAAAACCGAACGCACCATATTCCAGCATTCCACGCGGCTATCCAACTAACAAGAACGAAACCGACTTTCTTCAGCGGTGAGCCACGAAAAAGAACGTTGGTTAACCTAGAAACCAATAAAATATACTAAAAATAGCCACACCTGACCCTCCAATAGGTTTTTGCTCTTGTATTGGGTATAAAACGAGGTGCTTCTCTGGCGCCCGAGCTTGTCGACGGCTGCTCAGAGGCTTCCATCGACACTGGTGCACAATTTAGTCGTCAAATTGTTTCCTAGAAGTATGATAGACTCTTTGCAACTACTTGTTCAGATAATGTTTTGTAAAACGACTGTGGTGTGTATTCGCAGACGACCAATAAATAAACTTTATTGAAAAATAGTGAAAATGGTGGATGAGGATCAAGAAGTTTGTAGTCCTGGCGAGATCGTTTAACTAAAAAAAAATATAAAATTGGACAATGTTTTGAAAGCTTACCGTCGAGCAGGTGTGCGGCTCGGTGTCTGCCCGTCCAAAAGCCAGCCCTTTTTGTCGCCCTCGCCGAGTCCGTACTTTTCTCGCATCAACTCCAGCTTCTTGCGACCCTAGAAAAAAGTTATAATGATAGTTCACCAAAAAAACTTTAAAAGTAGGCCAAAAAACATACCTCCTCAGTATTCATGCGCTGATAAACCTTCGTGATCTGGTAGTACAATACGACCAAATATCTGTTGCTCACCTAAAATAAAAAATTTTCAAAAAGACTCATTGAACCTACATTGTAACCCTGAAGCTTTTCGCAAGCCGTTTTTGCCTCCATCACGTCCTCATAAATAACAAAAGCCGTTCCTTTCGTCTGTGCTGTCTTACCCCTAAAAAGAGATTCGTAAAAAACACAAAAACATACACTCGGATTTGGCGGATGGCGCCGAATTTCCCAAAAATGTCGTACATCTCCTTGGCGGTGATCTTGAAGGGCAAATTTTTGACGAATAGAATATTATTGATCTAAACATAGATTATAGCTTTGTAGGCTGCTAACTGGATACCTCTGGTGGGAGCTTATCGCCGCGTCTGTATGCCATAGCCATCTTGAAGTACTTCTAAAAACTTGGAGTACAAAGTAAGCATCATCGATGTTGTAGATAGTTCGGAGAAGCTTACACAATCACTTGGGAAATATAGGAAATCTTCTTATTGCATTTTTTATCGTATGAGAACATACAAACATCACAGAAGTACATTGAGGAATCAATATTATCCCGAATGGCGCTACGAACAACAACGATAAGGATGAAAACAATGTTCATAATGCACGGATACAATCTATTCGATGAGAGGGAAAAGCGCCTTGGCATCAAGGGATCGTTTAATTTCGCTCTTCTCCACATCCAACTTCTTCACCAGAGGGGCCAGCGGCCAGAGGAAGTCCAGGCTGAGGTCAAATTACAAATTTATTACAAACAGTTACCTCGTCAATTGTAGCTCATTCAAGTGTAGGACGCCGGAGGTGAGAAACTCTTCAAACGCGTCCTTTGTTGAGCCGGGCGGGATGGCTGCGAAACGATCACCAACGACATGGCGATCCCTGTGAAGGTATTTATGGTAAGGGAAATTTGTCCATAAAAGCCGTTCAATTTCGAATTCCGTTTCTGCTCCTAGGACAGGGCAGATGCTATAAAAGGGCAGCTGGGCGGGAACATGCGTGCACAAATGGACGGCGTAAGGAGGATGTGCCGGGATCCATAGCCCATGAACCCCTACACAACGAAAAACTACCTGATGGACAGGTAGAAATTCTTGCGCTGCGGGTCAACCCTCGCCAGCTCCTCCAGATTGGCCAATATTCGTTCGGTGCTGCTCCGGGGCGTTGTCCTAATCATATACGCCGTCAAAGAATACAGACCGACCTAAATTCATAGTTTTCAAGAGCAAAACAACCCACCGGGCAAGGCTTTTCCTCTTCCGCCAAAATTTGTTCAATCTCGGGCGTGTACTCGTCCAAAAAGTCCAGTTTGCCATTATCTTTTCGGTAGAAGTAATGCTCTAAGTATTTACTGAAAAGGAATATCAGCCACCGTAAAAAAATACCGATCAACGTAGGGGTGCCCTTCTGTCACGACCACCTTTTCGACGTCCGGCTTCACAATGGCTAGGTTGTTGGTCTCAATCCTCCAGATTTTTGAGGAGATTATGCGTTTCGTTGGCAATGTAGTAATCTATAGGGATCCAGAAATATCATCGTAAACACACCGGTGTCCAAACAGCCCCCTTGTCGGCCGATACCCATTGTGCTGCGCATTCCTTCGTCACCCCGGATCTGAAGCTTACAACAGCCCCGTTGTTGTTCAGCGCAGCCGCCACTACTTCACAGGCCTCTAAAAGTACCACAGTTAATGTACCACACAATATTTGCCGATATCAAGCCTTGAAAAACGATTTCACACTCACCTGTCTGATAATCATTCTCAAGCCGTACGTGATCCAGCAGAAATCGGCTGTATGTCCATCCACTTTGGTCGTTGGGGTCCGTACAGCAGGCCGTAATGACTTTCTGAAACTAAATTAGGGAAATAGGATCAATCGAAACCTTGAACTCCGAGGACACTGTGTCCTCGTCTAGATATTGCTGATTCTGGTACCGCTTCTTCAACAAGATCCCTCGATAATGCCACGCAGAAAAATTCGAGAAATTTTCTTCGATCACCTTGTTTGAGAACCTAAAGAAATTTTGGCACCGGTAATGGTTTTTACTCAATCTCTTCGTCCAAAGGCAGCTTAGCCAGCGCAGCTAGGTATCTCCGATGGTCCCAAGTGTGAAAGTTTCGGCAGTCCATCTGCAGCGCCATAGAACACAATTTCAGGTCGGCTTCGATCTTTGGAGCAGGATGTCGGTCGAGCACCCAGGATCGTTGATGCCAGGCTGCGTATGATTTCGGGTTTTCCTAAAAAAAGGCTGAAGAACCAAAAGGAAACTTACTCGAAGACACTTTTGAGTCAGGGACAGCTCTTCCTCGAGCAGTTTCGTGATCTTCTCGGCAGCCTCTTCCACGTTTTCCTAGGCGTAATTGAATTGAGCTTCATATACAAGCAAACCTCATTTAATTTCTTTTCCAAGCTCTCGATGGCTGCTCTCCGGATATTCCATAGAGTGTAGATATCAGGGTTTTTGCTCAACATCGTGCCCGTTTGCTCCAGTTGAGATTGCTCTTCACCTAAAACAAGAATCTAGGCGCCGACAACGCCAACCGTCAATTCCCCTTTTCGAAAAAATGGCATCGCGCATGGCAATGAAGGCCTTCTTTTTAGCATCGGTAATCCGAGCCTTCTCCGCCGCCTCTTCCTCGGTTGTCGGGACCTTTTTTACAAAATGCATCTAAAAACTTGTGAAAATGCTTCAAAAAAATGTTTCAAGAAGCCAGGCGGATGAGACGTCCGTGAGGTTGAAAAAGTACCTTTTGTGGAAAGTGTTTATTATCACACGAGATCAAAGTTTCGAGGTTAAGGCAATTCCCGTGGCAGTGAGATAAAATGACAAGCTGATCAAAATAGACAAATTTTCGCGATAGCTTAATTAGCAGGCCGATCGACAAGCCCCGGAATGATCAGCTCAAATGTATTTTCTTCTATTTCAGCCTTGATCACCGCAAACCGATTGTTGGAAATCCCTATAAAACAATTTGAGAAATTTTATTCTACTTACGAAGGGTTATTTTCGGGGCGTGTCCCTGCAGGAAGCTCGTCCAGACCAAATGCATGATTTTGACGGGGACTCGTACAATGGCCGTCACGACTTCGTCGTCCTCTAAACCAACATTTAGAAAACTTCAGGAGACAAGGTACCTGTTTCGGCTCCAGTGACAGGAAGGTGCTGGAAGTATAGCGTGAGCTCAGCTTTTTCCGTCGAACAACACAGTTCTAATTCACCAACTGATGAGATTTCCAGGCTCTAAAAACTAGCAATGACGGGATGACGGGTAAGAGTCTAGAAAACCCCCCCCCCCAGCCGGCACCAACTTTTGTATCTCGGCCCCCTTTTGTGCTAGCGAGCTCTAAAGTATACCAAAATGTTCGCCGTAGGCTAATTAGTAAGACTACATTGCAGTTCAGTCGAAAAAAGTAGCGAAAAATAAAAATAAGGAAGGTAGAATAGTTGAAAAGTCGGCTGGGGGGGGGGGGGTTTCCTAGACTTGAGCCGGATGACGCAATGCATACTCACCACAGCTTTTCCGCTTTGATTCTTCAAAACGGTGAAAAACTTCGGAAATGCCCGGGATGTAGGAAGTGATACTGACAACTAAATCAACGGGGTTGTTTTAAATGACTAAACCATACAGTAAAATCAATCTGCACGGTGGGCCCTTTATAAGTATGTGTGCTTTCTGGGAACACGATCGTCACGGCCGTCAAATGATTGAGCGTCGTCCGAGTGCCGAATAGACTGATTTGGATATGTGGTTGGTTCTAGAAAACAAAATTAATCAATAAAAAAGGGTTACATCACGCTTCGTCAATTTGATTACACATCGATCATCCACGGCCCCGGAGATCGCCTTGATGAAGGCGTCGGCGTTGATCGTTAGCACAATTTCATTCCGCTCTTCGTCGTATCCGTCAACTACCTGAAAATAAAGTCTCTCTATCATAAAAACCTGACTTACAAATCTGGTGAAAACCCGTGCGGGGATGAAGTAACAAAGCCAGGAGCCTCCATTCCCAGCTACATCCGTTAGCAAGAATTGCCAGCCATCCGGGGTCACTCGAATAGGCAGCTCGCCGCGGCAGACTCTAGCGATGCCGTTGCAGACCCCTAATCAAACTGTGAAGAAAATTCACGAGAATTACTTGAAAAGGCTTCAAGCGTCCCACGATCACCCAATTCGGCCGTGAGCTTCATGCTGAGCAGGATAAAGAGAAATCTCGGTTTACTTCAGGTACACGGAGATGGTAGACACGAGCCATCAACCAAGGATTTCCGTAGAATTTATTCACAACTAATGGAATTCCCGTCCTTTCTTACGCTCCGCGGTGGCAGCGAGTCCGTCGCTCTAAAAAGCGGTTGACGACCGTAAGAATAAAGGTAAATATACCTGAATTATGAATTCGGCAGAGCTGCGTGGTCTGCATGGGCTTTTCACCAAGGAAAGCCGTCGAAGTGATCCGGCGGGGCTAACTCGTTCAACCCATAAGCGGCAGGTGACACGCTGGGCCCACCAGGCTGGAAGCGCCGCGCGGACGAACTAGAGGTGATTTTTTATAAAGAAGAACTCATGACACTGGACTCTTAGCGGGAAAACTAACTTTGGCCAGAGCCAGGACCGACAAATTTTATAGCGTTAAAGTTCATATAAAAAATACAAAAAACTTGGAAATGTCTAATTTTTTACCCAAAATGTATGGAAATGCTCAAAAACTTTAAATGTTCTATGATTGTAGTATGCAAAAAAAACAATCAAAACCTCAAAAACTGCTGTGTTAAATAGCTTCCCCCGCTCACAGTCCAGAACAAACTCGCTTACCGATGTGTCCGTGCCCTCAACTATTTCGTCGACAACATGATTCGTCAAGAGGATCTAGGGGCGAGACGTGGTTTTTACTACATTGGCATACCGCAATACCCAATGACGATAACTTGCACAACTCCCTGCCGATCGAATCGATCGCCAATCTAAAAATAGATAAAAGCCTAGAAAATCTGACATACCGGTACTCATCTTTATTCAGACCTTTGACACCGTACGCAACACTGTCCACCACGAGCAACTAAAATCCATGAGCAAAGCAAAAGATTTTTACCTCGATCGCAAGACGCTTACTCTCAAGTCCCGTATAAATATTTCGAAGTGCAGCCAGTAACGCCTCGTAATCCAGAGGACGTTCATGAAGCAAGTTTCTAAAAATTGTGGGAAAATTCTGGTTTACGGTACTCTCCCAAAATGCGGTTTTTTGTGTTCAAATCGTTAAATAAAGGTCAGAAACGGACTCATTGACAAAAATTAGGTGGCGGAAGGCACTTTTTAGGGGAGAAAACCTCATTTTAGTTTTGAGATCGGGTACCGTAAAGTAGTATACGGGGGTGACTACTTTACGGTACTCTCCCAAAATGCGGTTTTTTTTGTTTTCAGATCGCTAAATAAAGATCAGAAACGGGCTCATCGACAAAAATTAGGAGGCGGAAGGCACTTTTTAGGGTAGAAAACCTCATTCTAGTTTTGAGATCGGGTACCGTAAAGTAGTATACGGGGGTGACTACTTTACGGTACTCGCCCAAAATTTTAGTTTTTCTGCACGAATAGAAGCAGTAAGGGCTGAAACGCATTAAGCAGCAAAAATAATTTGGCGGAAAGGCCTAAAAATGAGTGATTTGAGACTTCGAGGTTTGAGGCTTATGACATGTCGCGCAAGGTGGGCCGTCGCTTCGGATGGGCTGCCGCTCCACTCTTTCGAAATCAGGGCGCCTGGGCGCTTCGCGCTCCTCGGGCGCCCCAATTTCGAAACACTGTACGAGCTCGCACCCATCCGAAGCGACTAGGCCCCGGGTGGCACGAAGCCTTATTTTTAGGCTTAAACTGGGTGTGATTGAGAGATGGAATCTGCGTCCGAATCTTCCCTTTATAGGCTTTTCCGCCCACTTATTTTTGCTGATTAATACGTTTCAGACCTTGCTGCTTCTATTCGTGCAGAAAAAGGAACATTTTGGGCGAGTACCGTAAAGTAGTCACCCCCGTATACTACTTTACGGTACCCGATCTCAAAACTAAAATGAGGTTTTCTCCACTAAAAAGTGCCTTCCGCCACCTAATTTTTGTCGCTGAGTCCGTTTCTGACCTTTATTTAGCGATTTGAACACAAAAAAACCGCATTTTGGGAGAGTACCGTAAACTTGAATCAAGCCAAAATTGTTTGGTGAAAAGATGATGCCATACTTGAGCAGAAAACTGTTGCAATCGCCTCCTAACATTTGCACAAGACGATTGGTGCGAAAGGACCCTTCAGTGTCAATGCAGAAGGCCTTGTGACGGGAGCGTAGAGTGTGACTCAGAATTTGCTGGCTAAACAAAATGAAGGGTAATCTCCAGAGCACGAAATAGTACCATATCTGACTTTTCCCGGCCCCGGCGTTCCCAACCAATTCGGTGATGCCGCCGCGCAATAGTCCATTCTCACCTCAAACATTTTCAATTTGACTGTCTGAATAAGATTACCTCCGAGCACAAAGTCAATCTCCGGTATTCCAGTGCCAAGGACCGCCTGAGTAGCTTCCATCTCCAGGAGCTCTTTTGCATTCCGGAAAAGAGCCATCGAAAAAGCCTTGTCACACTCTGTTCAATTTTTGTCTCAAATAAACGACACAAACATTCAGAAAATAGAGGGCATAGAGGAAATGATTTTATCGGCAACAATAGATAGAGTCACCACTTGCTAAAATCAACGAGATTCGTCCGTAAATCTTTTTTCTTCTTCGCTGCTGGCCCGTCACCCGCCGTCAATTGATCCTAAAAATAAAATCAGGTCAGGAAACTCGTGATACCGTTGTTCGCTTCGTTTCCGGCTTTATATATTTGCCGATGCCGGTCCCGTATGCCTTCGGTTTGGGCTTTTCTTTCGGCTTTTCAGCGTCTCCTTCTCCTAATAATTCTTATCAGAAAACAGAAAATTGTTAAAACCTGTTTTTCCACCCTTCAATGCCTCGCGCTCCTTAGCCACTTGTTGTTCGGCCTCTTCGAAGGGATCGACGAAAACTTCAGCCCTCATGAAGACGATTTCTTCTATTGGTCTATCGGTGCCGGCTTCAGCAGGAACCTAAAACAATTGTATAGCAAAAGCAAATAGCAAAATAGTCTATTTAATAAAACGCCCACCTTTTCAATCGAGTTTAGCGTGTCGAGTCCTCCGACAACTTTGCCGAAGATCGTATGCTTATTGTCCAAATATTTACAAGGTCGGAAAGTGATGAAACTAAACGAGGAATAACGAAGCGAACTGAACCCTTACAATTGAGATTGGTTGGTGTTGCTACCCTTGTTCGCCATACTCAAAATACCACGTGTGTGGTGCGATAGTCCCTGAAATCAAAGCAAATTTTAGTAGAGCAGAATACAACAAACCTGATTAAACTCGTCTTCAAAGCCTTTGCCACCCCAAATGGACTCTCCACCGTGGCCTGTGCCCGTTGGGTCTCCGCCTTGAATCTAAAAAAAACTAAAAACCACTTTACAAAACTAACCATAAAATTCTTAATCAAACGATGAAACCGCGTGTTATTGTAGTAGCCCCGCCGACATAATGTGATGAAATTCTCGCATGCTTTCGGGGCTTTCTGGCAGAAAAGCTCGAGGTTGATGGCGCCGTGATTACTGACGATCCGGACATAGCCATTTTTCTTGACACGTGCGTATCTAAAGAAATTTAATGTTAAGTATGAGATCCCACTTCACGACATCATCAGCGAGGACGGCAGCCTTATTATCTGTAGCTGGAGTCACGGCCGTACTCGTAAATCCGGCAGAAACCTGAAAAAGGGATAAATCCATTGTTTAAAAACGAACGTGGCCCTGGGTCCAGGGAGCGGCATTGATGGCATCGGCAGTCTCCTCTGCGGCGTGCTCGAACTTCTTCGGGACGTAGTCCTTCTTCAGCTGGTCCAAAGCCTCCTTCGTCTCGTTGTTCATTCTTCGGATCCGGTATTCCGGCTTCGCCATCTCCTTCTTTTCGTCTTCCAACTAAACTTTGGATAGCAGCTAAAACGCTCGTTTTACCTGCTCTTTCGTTTTCAGATCGAGCTTCACGTGGTGGAACTGTTCCAGGTTAAATTTGTCGAGATTGTGGGGGTCCTGCAAGCAAAGTTTTTGGGTAGCGAGCTAACAAACTTGTAGCGTGATAATGTCAGTGCGCAAAAATGGCACATCCTCAAGGAGATCTTTTAAATGGCTTCTCTTCAAATTCAATTCGTTCACGGCTTCACGGGAATAGACGTTTCCCGTTGTTCGGATAGCCTAAAACACCGGAATTTTTGCGCGCACAGGAATTAATACCACAATGTTGCTGTTGAGCGTGAAAGTGCGGAACGTCACCGGGCACTGGAAGTTGCCTAAAATTGGCAATGGGATAGACGACGCTTCCCATACCCTCTTCATCCTTGCAGAACTTCAGGTTGACAAGATCCTTGATGGCGAGCTTCTTTCCCGAAACCGGGTTCGAACCGTGCTTTTTGATGTAGGGGATAATGTTGCTGCAAAAAGAGCAATTAGCGGACCAAAAAAACGTACGCAATATCGAAAATCTCTCCATCGGGCGTACAGACTGGATCGTCGAAGGGCAGAAAAGAGACTGAGCAGTGGTTGATCGGTAGTCTTTTGAAGTCGGCACGCTGCTTTCTGGTGCCCGTATCTGAAGCAGAGTTGAATCACCTCAACAAATGGGATTTCACGCCTTGGGGCTTTGAAATCTGCGCTTTCGGCATGCTCCGTGCCCCAAATCTCAAAAAGGGCCGGCTAACGCGGGTCTCAACGCATTCGCGTAGGAAAACGGCGATAAATATAGTACTAACCATCTTTGTGCCCTCCAAACGATTCCTTCCATTCGGTTGTGGTCAAATAACTGTAAAAAAGGACTTGAATAAGTGAATTAAATAAGCATCCTTACAGTTTATCCTGCTGATGCTGCTTCTTACCCATCGCGGTGAAAAGTTAACCTGCAATTGAAAAGTTTTAACTAATTCTTATAAGGATCTCAAAGAGTTTTTAGTAAAAACACAAACAAAAACCTTTACTAATTTTGAGTGTCGCGAAATTTGGTGGCGAAATTATTCAATTCGGGTACGGGACGATACTAATCCCGCCTTTAGGTCGGGGGAGTTTGAAACGGACTGCGCGGTGAAAATTTGCGCGTTTATCCGATTTTCACGTCATTTTACCTGCGAAGATCAAATTATTTTCCGTTCGAAAAATTTCTAAAATCTTGATTTTCCATTTAATACTTGTATTTACACTTCCTAGTATGTCTGCGCGCGGCCGGCGATCCCGCAATGCATTGGCGGATATTACTACAACAATGGAACAGCCTGACGAGCATATCAAGGAGAGGGTTGAAGCACTGGAGCGGTTTTACGTGTATCGCGAGCCCGTTGGTTTGTCTATTTAAGTCGATTTTTAAAGTGAAATAGATTCACCGCGACAATCGTCGAGTCGGAAACGCCATGCTGACCCGGCGGATTTTCTCCGTGAAGACACGCCGAATTGTTCTGGGTTTCGCCTCAAGGTTTTGTTAGAAACATTTCAATTCCAGCGACGATGAGGACTACATCTTGCGGCCGGATAAGGTCTCCTTTTATCGCACACCTGGCATCTACAAATTCAGGAGGCGCACCAGCACCGAACCGCAAATCGGTAGCATATCTTGCTTTGTACGATTTCTATATTCTTTTAGATTACTTTGCTCACTACAACTTGCCTGACGATTGTTTGCTCAAAATTTTCTCCAACTTCAATAAGAGGGATCTGGTTACAGCCATGAAGACTTGTCGGCGGTTTTATAATATTGGGTATGACATTTCTAATTTCTTGGATTTTCTGTAAATTTAGGGAGTCTAAAGATTTTTGGGAAGCTATCGACCTATCCAATAAAACCGTGCGCCTCTCCGATCTACTTTCGATCGTCGCGCGAGGATGTAAAGTGTTGCGCATGTCTGGCACAAATGTTCTCGAAGATGAGGTAAAGCGACTTGCAGATTTTGAAATCAGTTTTTTTTAGTTTGATCCTGCTGGCGTGGAAAAATGTGAGTATTATGGTCGTCCCCGCCTCACCCATGCCGACTTTTCGCGTGCCATCATTTCAAGTGCAGCCCTGGAGTGGGTTTTGAATGGCGCAACCAAGCTTCAGGTACGCTTTCGCCAACTTTCTGTTTTTATACTCTTTTTAGGCAATTGCCTTGGAAAACTGTGAAGTGACACCGACGATCTGCAGAATTCTACACAACAATGCGAATCTGCAGTTTCTGGACCTCTCAATGTCTCGTGGGCTGCCAGAGTGCGATCTACGGTTTCTTTCGGCATTTAAAAGGTGAGGGATGGTTTAGTTTTGTGATCAACATTTTTAGGATGCACGAGTTAAACCTCTCTTGGTGCGCTCTGGATGTCGAAAATTTGCACGAAGTGGTCAGCAACGTGGGTAATTCTGGGTTTTTGAAATTCGGTTTTAGATACCTACAAAGCTTAGTCGTCTCAGCTTGGCAGGGCAAAAGGATTCACTCGTGGATCAGCGTAAGCCTTTTCTGATTTAGCAAACATTTTCCTAGACATTGAGACGTTGGTCCAACGCTGTGTTAATCTTATGGTGCTCGATCTGTCGGAGTCATGTGATATTTCTCGAGAAGCCTTTACCTTGCTGCTGAGAGAGCTACAGACTTTGACGACCCTCTCGATGGCACGTTGTTTCGGCGTCCACCCGATGGCCTACTTGTAGGTTATTCTTGTCATGATCACAAATGATTTTTTTTAGGAACTGCATCAATATTCGTCAGCTCAACATTTTTGGTTGCGTTGCTGAGGGAGGAGAAGAAGCCCTACGCAATCGCTTACCGGTTTGCGCTTGTTCAATGTCCTTGATATATTTTTCAGAATACCGCAATTAATGTCACACCGTATTGCGATATCGCCCGCCCGACGCCTCCACCGTCATACACGTCAATTTGGGGAATGCGTGTCAAGGATTTATACTAAAGAGGCCTATTCAACTCTCCACTCATGCTGTATTTCTCTCATCCGCACAATTATTTCATTTTTGAACGTTTCCTTCTGTGGCTTTCATTGGGAGACATACTAAAGAGGCTTATTCAACTCTCCACTCATGCTGTATTTCTCTCATCCGCACAATTATTTCATTTTTGAACGTTTGCGTCTGTGGCTTTCATCAGGAGACTCGGGTTTCTATGCAATTTTCGTGATAAAGATCACTAACATATTCCGTTGTTGATTGTACGTTGATCGCATCTTATACAAGCACATTTGCACTAACACGAACATTGTTTAGGGATGAAGAAGTTTTTCGGGATAATTGAGACAAAAAAATGGAAGACAAAGTGTCTGGCGGCGGAACGCCGCAATTTTGAGCTGCTTCTTGTGATCGAACAGTTGGCGACGGAGAAGGAAGATCTAGCATTAAATGTCGAGAATAAAGCGCAGCAGATCGAAAGTTTGAAAGAAGCGTCAAAAAAGGTAGCGGGAAATGGCTTTGAGCTGCTGTATTGTTTTTTCAGAATATGGCCAAGATCGTCGAATTAAACGGGACGTTGGAACAAAGACTGGCAACGGCAGAAACAAGCTTTTCAAATCATCTTCGGGGATGTACGGAGGTTCTAGCACAACCTGGCTGTGAGAATCTTTTAGGAGCTGAAGGCGAATAGAGTGTTATTGGCTGAGCGAGACTCATTCATCGAACAACAGAGAGAAGAGAGGGCGCGGCTTCATGACCAGAATAATCACGACAAGTGTCGGAGGTTTGTCATTTCTTTAGTCATTCTTCAGCGCTTATTTAGTGTTACCGAGAAACTGTTGCTCGCAAAATTGGAGGAGATGCAGGCGGTGGTGAAGAACTCGCAGGTGGCGGTCGAGGAAAACCAGATGCTGCGCGACTTCATTGAGATGGAAAGAACAAAACGCAGGACGCTGATCCTAGAATTGGAGCGTGTGGAAAGGTTGCAGTCTCCCGTTTTCGCCATAATCTCTGTAATTACAGGGTCTGCGCTAAATTAGAAAAGCATAGGGACGAGTGTAAGATGACCGTACAAGCAAATTTTGATCTGAAAGGTAATTAATTTATAGTCTATTGACACATTTTTTCAGCCGAGTTTGAAGTGCACAAGGAGGGGATGAACGAGCGGGTCCGGCTGCTCAACAGCGAGCTCAAGGAGCAGCGCACCTGCCATCAACGTCTCGTCGAGGATATTAAGAAGAAACATGTTATTGCCGCCGAGATGGTATTGAACAGCAATTTTTGGGGCTTATTTTTTTAGAAAAATTCTATGGCAAAACAGCTTCAGTCCCAACGCATTGCGCTGCAACGTTATCAAGAACTATTCGAACAAATAACCAGGAACAATAAAGTGAGCACCTTTTCAAGGATTTTTTATTATCATTTTTAGGTTCGGGAGAATCGGGCGTCATTTGGGCAGCTCAAAGCAAGCGCCGGTCATGTCCCAAGGAGCCTGGCTAGGTTAGCACGTTGCTTGTAGTACACGCTAAATATTTTTTAGGTCTAATTCACTACCCCAGAAAAAGGCCACACAACGGAAGCACTCGATCTTGGTGGGGGTTTTTTAGAGTTCTATTATTCTCCGTTTTAGTTTGGCAATCCGGACGCCCCGTTGTTCGAACACGAGAAGATGCCCGGATGGGAACGATCGGCCATCGCTGTTTTTAAATAGATAAACTATTTTTGAAAGGAATTTTTGGCTCAGAAACTTGCTGGTGCCCAGGGGTTTTATTCACCTTTTCTGCGGTTCGAGCCGCAGGCCCTTTTTTGCAGGGCGGAAAGAGGGGGAAGCTGGGCGACCCTTCAAGAGGTGTTAAAAATTCTCGAGATTCCTCGTGTCGAGTGGGAGTCAGACTTCCGGGCTGCCAATCGCAGTCATCTCAGGACAGCTGCAGTTGTTCGTTATTTTTAAGGCCATTTTAAAGCGCATAAAAAAAAAAAAAAAAAAAAAAAAAAAAAAAAAAAAAAAAAAAAAAAAAAAAAAAAAAAAAAAAAAAAAAAAAAAAAAAAAAAAAAAAAAAAAAAAAAAAAAAAAAAAAAAAAAAAAAAAAAAAAAAAAAAAAAAAAAAAAAAAAAAAAAAAAAAAAAAAAAAAAAAAAAAAAAAAAAAAAAAAAAAAAAAAAAAAAAAACGTTGAGTGGTTCGATGTTGCGACCCGGTGCTTTAGCATTTTCGGGTGGGGGGGGGGGACCAGCTCATTCCCTAGGGCCCATTTTTTTTCCTCATTTAGAAATGAACTGTTTCTAGACTGTCTTTTTACTATCCCTAAACGTAAGCCCTTACCAATTTTTACTAAAAAAATAGAAAAACGCGATTCTCGACCAAAAATCGTTTGTTTCCGAATGGAATTTACTAAACAATAAAGACTATTAACTTTAGCGCCCCCCCGCCCCGATCATGCGAAAACCTAAACCCAGGTTCTTTCACGCCGTGCCTAGTGGAACCACGTCCGCGAAAAATCGGGGATGGCGTTTTCAGGAGGGTTGCTTTGACTTTTTTGGCTTCTTTAGTAGTGCAAAGAAACTTGGAGTTCGAGCGTGTCCCCAGGGCCTGATTTGGGCAAAACGAGCCCCGCGCGGCGACGGATGGGATAGCCGGCCGCAATCAGATGTTTACGATGGGGACGACGTTTCGGGTTGCCGTCCGCTTTTTGAACCCCCGCAAGAAACCCGGGTTCTGGTCTATTAGCGGGGGGAAAGGGTAACTTTGGTTTTGCCTAGCATTTCGGGACGGAATTACGTACCTTTTCTTCAACTTTGTAAGCCTTTTTCGTGTAGACAGTCAGGAAAAGCTATTAAAATTGTCGAAACAGGTTCAAAGTGGTCAAACCTTTCAGATTTTTAAAATGTTGTAACATTTTTATGACTGCTTAGTAATCAAAAGCCACTAAAACATTAATTACTTGGTCAGGTTTGACAGGCTAGATAGGTATTTCATCCCGTTAACCTCCTCTGTTCCAGACTATTACGGGGGCCTAATTTTAGTTCATCGCTTTAGGTTTCCCAACCCCCCGTTAACAGCCAAGTACCAGAAATTCCAGAAATCCAGGCCCTTTTGAACCTACACAACAGAGAAACTAAACAAATACCCAATCGGGAATTCGCGAAGGGCCCCCTATCCCCTTGCTTCGCATAAATATTTCACCCCTCAGCCGACACACCTAGCGATTATCTGGCGCTCAACAAATGGCCGTCCAGGGGCAAATAAGAGGAAGTTTTCGCCGGAGATTCCGGTGAGCTGGCCCGGCCCTATTTCTTCGGTGGATGGGCTGGGTGACGGGTGGCGCACAATTAGGAGGGCCCTCGCGAGAAATCACCAACGGAAACACCCCCCTCTTTTCCCTAAAGACCCAACCGATGCGTGGCTCAGTCAGAGAAATTAGGTTGCGATGGGCGCTCCTCGGTGGCCATTCCTTTTAGTAGAGGTTTTATTTTTGGCGTGCCATCTATCTCGCCAGGTCGCCCCGGTGGGGATTACACCCGGAAGCGGTTGTTTTGACTGCCGGTTGAATTACTATCATCTAATGGTCAAAAACCGGTAGGGTTCTTTGGCATTGGCTCGTCGGCATCAGTCCAAAATGGCCTAGTAACCTCAAATCACGGATTTTAGTATTGTTTTTGTGAAAAATAACTATAGTTCAAGCGGGAAAAATATCTAAAAACGTAGACAAGGATCAAGAACTTCTTATTTTGGTCTAAAGTTACCCATCCTTAGTCGAAAAAAAAATCGGTTTTTTTGTTGTTTTTAATGGAACGTCTTGAGTTTTTTAAAACCTGGAAAATGTTTAAAAATGTAAGATTTTGTTTGAAAAGGGCTCATTTTATCGAAAAAACTTTTTTTACTAGCCTCGTAGGATTTTCACGCTTAAAAATAGTAAAAAGGCAGCTGAAACTCGTTCATTATTTATATTGGAAAGTTTAGAGCCTAAGAAGCCCCCCCCCGCTAATGTGAAAGTACCGCCGATAGTTTTGAGCAAAGTATAACTAGTAAAGTATCACCCCTGCTTTTGGTTTGCGTTTTTTGGATTGCGCAAATTTTTGACTCTTGAACTGACGTTTTCGACAAGTTTTTTCGATATGCTGGTGATGCTACCCAGCTTCACTTTCGGGCGGAGAACGAACATGGTTCGGATCGGCGGTCGGCCATGGCCAATCATCCTCTCGGGCCTAGGGCATATCCTGTCAAATGCAATTTGCCGCTTCTCCACCGAGCCGTCGACGCTTTCCAGGGAAAAGGACCCATGCTCCATTGCATTCAAAGTGTCTCCGGGCCATGTTTTATTCTGAATTCCGTTCATTTGTTCCGTCATCATTAGCTTAAAACAGGGGCTTTTTATTGGCGATCGAGTGGCTGCTGCCAGTAAAAAGCCGTGCTTTCGCAATATCGGGGGGGGGGGGCGTTTCCTGACCGCTACGCGGATTTTTCTGACCCTCCCCGGGGTAGGCTCCCCCGATATTGCCAAAGCATCTAAGCCCCGGAACAGCCTACTTTCGTATTTTTCGTATTTTAAATCTTTATACCTTTTTTAACCCGGCCGTTTCGCAGCTTCTACAAATTTCGTTTCAATCAACGAAAAATTCTTCGCAAGCAAAGCCGGATCTGTTTTCAAGATCCACGAACACTGAAAAGCGTTTCCTTGTTAGATATCAGGTGTTCCGTCATCTAAGCGAACGAAAAGCCTAGAGTGCTCTTTTAGGTTAGGATTTCCCCACCCAATAAGCCATTACTTTGAATATGCGTTAGGCGGGGCCGAAGAATAACGACTGGCCGGGAGGCCGTGGTTTTTGGCAGCTAGAAGGCCCGGAATAGGGGGGATTCTCATAACATTTGCGAATCAATGGGGGTAGTTTAGGGCTTTATTCATGCGGCACCGGTGGCTTATTAATGACTTCCCCACGGGCTGACGAGGCGTGGAGAAGGATGATGCTGATCACATTACGGCTATATTTACGTGAATAGATGCTTTGTTTTCATTGTGAATTCTTAAAAAGTCGACGCGGTAAACGGCGGGCTAAAACATCTAAAATTCAGGGGAAATGGCGCTCGGACTGGGTGTGCTGATCGCCCTTGTCGCTTCCGCTCTTGCAGCAGTTCCGGTAACTTACGATTCAAAAATAACTCAAAAGCTTTACTACTTCGACCTAGAAACAAATTTGTCTGCGAATGAGGCCATAAAAATTTAGGGTTCCGGTCCATTAGCGGGGGGGAGATCAACATTTCCATGAACGCCGAATAATCAAATAGAAACCACTTTAAAAACAGTGACGCTCGTTTTGGGTAAAAATTTCATAAATATTACTAGAATTTTCGAAAGCAATACTCTGCGCAAAAAAAATCAGAAAATTTCGCGTTTAAAAGGTGTTATACTTTAGTGGCCAGACACTACCAAAAACTATAGAATTAGTTTGTGTTCCGTTACTGTGGCGGTTAGGCCAGGTTAAGCTTGTATTTCCCAGGGTTCTGGTCCCCCCGTTAACGGACCAGAACCCTGGAAAATACAAGCCATTTTTTTAGCAAAATTGATATAAATACAACGATTAAGCTATAAAATTTTAGCTAAAGCGGACGTTCGCCCCGTCGGTGGCCGCCGAGGAATCCTTCGGAAATATGCGGTCAGTTAGGCAAGCTTTTCCGCATAGCTTTTCGTATAGAAACCTAATGGAAGTGGGGAAACGGCAGCTGAGCATGGCCGGCGACACGAACGCTCAATGGCAGGTCGGTGCTAAGGAATTTAACGTACCTTTGTCGTTAGGATTTTACTAAAGCATGGCTTGATCTGTAGGGTAGAACTAGAAAATTTGGTAGACTGTTAGCGGGGGTGGAAAATTAAGCTTGGTAAGCCACACTTAAGTTATCCCTGTCAAAAATACATAGCATTTATATAAGGTTTAAACGGCTTTTAAGTATAAAAACTATCTAGAAATCATCAAAGTTTTGATTTTTGGTCAAAAATGTAGGAAAATGGTTGATAATTTCATCTTTTCTATGTTTTTATCGCTTTTTGGTAATAAAAAACTAATCAAAACGTTTCGTGTCGCTTTTTACACAGTTGTAAGGTATAGAAAGTTCGTAATAAATTACAAAAACTTCGAAATATTTTTATTTTTGGCCAAGGATCTATAAAATTGTCAAAAATTCCCAATTTTTAGAACGTTTTAAATTATTTTAAATTATTTATGTAATCAAAAACTACGAAAATTACTCTAAAAAATACGCTAGAAAATGTCAATGTAAGCATAGGCTAGATAGCACCCCCGCTAACGGACCAGTACCTAAGATGCAGGCCTGTGAACGTAACTCTATCAATAAAATTCGCAGAACTATGCCCGGCTTTACGATATCGGCAAGAAGCGCAGCTATTATTCACCCTCGGAAGAGCTGGGGGTAAGCGGAAATGAGAAGCCCAAGACGAATTTTAGATCTACTCGCAACTGTACGAGGTCGGGAAGAAGCGCTCGGCCGCCTTCGCCCCATCCCAAGAATTCCAGACCGACGTATGGATTTTCGGTTCGAGAAAAAAAATTCGATCCATAATCAATATAAATAAATAGATAAATCGAAGAATATAAAATAACTAATAATGTTTTTAGATTTACAACCGACTTTTTGAAGTTGGGAAGCGATCGGCGCCGGAAACCGAGAGCCACGTAAGTAAAAAAAAACTAATAATTAAAGAAAACAAGTAAAATAAAGACACCTAATACTAAAGCTTCTCTACTTCAATAATAAATATTAATAGTTTATCTGCGCTAATTACTAAGTTTTATCTTTCGTTTACAGGACGCCGAAAAGCGGATGAACCTGGCGCCATCGCAGGAATTGGGGGTAAGCCAAAGACTTCGTAAAAAATTAAACATTTAAAAAGCTAAAGTATACAATTATAGAAGGACTAGATGTCAAATTATACAAGAAACCGTCGGGTTTAAAAGTTGGGCGAGATCAAGATGATCAAGATAAAAGTTGGGCGTTAGCTGCGTGAATCCTCCAAAAAGCTAGGCTAAAACGCGGCCCAAATAAAGCGAGGAAATCTAAAAAATTAAACCACTAGAAAAAACAAGCGGTCCTCCAAATCCACAACCTTTCCAGATGTACTCGACCCTGTACGACATTGGAAAGTAAAGCAAAGCCGGTTGGAATGAAGAGAGGTACTCCTGTCCGTGGTGCTACGCGTCAAGCCTTTGAAATAAGTAGAAAATAAACAATGGGCATTATATAAATTGTTGAGAATGAAGAATGGCACACTCTCCGAGACTCAAAGAACCCAAAAACCGTGGATTACCAGCAAGGCGGGCAGCGCCTGTCGAAACCCAGTGTATCGCGCCAGGCAAAAAGGAAAGAAACCCTTCCCGACGGACTTGAAATAGAAAACTCGAGGTCAAGGGCTATATAGAGCTGAATTTTGCGGCTCCAATGATACCAATGGTATTAGGTTATCTCGGTTCTTATAAACTATCTGCAAACTCGCGAAAATTTTTCAAAAAGTCGACTGTTTGGTCAAACACGGTATTTTTGATCGAAAAACCAATATGGTTGCTGTTTTCAATCACGCTTTATACAGTTTTGACGTTTAGGACTAGTAAAAAACGGTTTAGAAAGACTTCCGCTATTTATATTTGAAAAATTGGATCCCAACTAAAAATTTCGGTCCTTCCCGAAAATGTGAAAGAACCGTTATCTCCGATGTGAAAATCAGAAAAACGCCATCGCTTTCATCAAATTGGATGCAGTTTTGCAAATCCTTGGTATCATTAGAACCGCCTCGTTTCACTCTACAACTTTGGTATTGGCTTTTTACAAGATTCGATTAATCTTAAAGTTATAAGGCTTAGAAACTCTGGTCCCATACAGTTTTTGGTCGCTAGAAGGGTTCGTCGCCTAGTTTTATCCACACTTTTTGGTCGATGTTCGGCGGCTAAACGCGCACCAGAGAAAGGCTTTCAACTTTTTACAAATATTTTTAATTGATTTGTGGCCCTAAAGAGGGCCGTTGGGTTTGTTTGTGGGTTATGCCAGTTTAGCAGCAGCCGGGGGTGTGTAGCCGATTACTTGGCGCTAGGGGTGGCGGTGTACTTGGTGACGGCCTTCGTTCCCTCGCTCACGGCATGCTTGGCCAGTTCTCCGGGGAGCACGAGGCGGACAGCAGTCTGAATTTCGCGGGACGACAGGGTGGACCGCTTGCTGTAGTGGGCCAGCCGGGAGGCTTCTTGGGCGATGCGCTCGAAGAGGTCGTTGACGAAGGAGTTGAGGATGGACATGGCCTTCGAGGAGATGCCAGTGTCGGGGTGGACTTGTTTGAGGACGCGGTAGAGGTAGACGCCGAACGACTCCTTGCGGTGCTTCTTCCGGATTTTCTTGTCGGCGGATGGGCGAACGGGTGCGGCTTTGGCCGGGGCCTTCTTCGATCCCTTGGCGGACGGTTTGGGCGGCATCTCGAGCTTGTTGTTGCGACTTGCAAGATAGGGGACAATTTCGCGCGGGCCGGTATTTATAGTTGGGGACGGGAAAGGGGGCGGGGCCAGACTGTGCTGTCAGGCTACAGGCTCCGCCCCCGCGGCCCCGCCCCCTTTTCGGACTGTCCGGGGATTTTGCGAGGCCAGCCAGCCGGCTTTGCGATAAAAATTAGCCCTTCCGTTCCGTTTCCGGGTTGGTAGCCTGTAATTAACACCGAGCCTTATAAATTCACATTAAAACGGTTTTATTAAAACTTTACTTTACCCCCCAGCAGGAAGTTTCCAAAAGTTTTTCGCTATAAGTTTTGTATTTCTGTTTCTATTTTGAGCTGTAAGTAAAATTTTTAGGATATTTTTTGATGCTCTATCGATTGGCGTAGTCGAAATCCCGGCAAAAAGCGGAAATCTCGAAAACTTCTCGGAACTTCCGGTTGGGGGGAGGGATAAAGTAAAGTCTAGCCAAACTCGCCTTCTATGATATTTTACTCACGCTAAAATCTAAATATCTCATGAGGAAACGGTGTTGATTACGGGTTGCCCTCCGGAAAAGAGGAAGAGAGAAGAAGCAAAGAGAGGTGGAAACGTGAATTTGTAAAATTCAAGGGCGCCGGTTTGCTGAAAAACGTGATACGATCAGAGAGTGGATATACGAGAGCGAGATCAGATAAACCCTTTTGAGAACATTTGGTATGCGGGTTTTCGACTGAATTTGTTGCCGGAATGGTAACCTGTAAATAACACCGACTGTTTATTTTTTAGACTTTATTCGTATTGTAAGCGGCTTATTCATGGACCTGGAAGGGCGTTAGACGTTCGTCGACCTGGAACTATAGGGCGATAGCTACGGGCTTACTTCCTGAAAATCGGAAGAAAGAAGTGTAGAGATGTGAGCGGTAGCGATAGTGCTTTCTTAGTGGAAACGCCTGAAATTTGTAAAATGCTAGGTACGACGGGTACGCCCCGCTGAAAAAATTCGGTTTCATGAGTGCAAAAGTAGGGATTTACACCCGAGCAGCCGTCGACGCTCTCGTCCCAGCTGTCTGACGCGTATTTTGCAAGCTTCATGCCAATACGAGGTCGTAAGCCGAAGCGTAAGCTGATTATAAGTTAGCTTCACGACAAGACGTGCAATTCCAGACAATCCTGGCCAGATTAGTAAGTTTAAACGACGCCAAGCCTCTAGAGATGAAAAACGACAGTTTTTCGACGCTTATTGCTACGTATCACCCAGAGCTTGTCTGCATTGACAATGACTCAAACCTGAAATAAAACAAGATAAAAAAGATAAGCTTGAGCTTGACTGGAGCGAACTTTTCATTAGTTTATACATACTTTTGGTACTACTTTCTACGTTTGCGTCGACATCTCTGCTCCTTTGAGAAATTCTAAATTCGTTGGTGTAAAATTGTAAGCTAAGAAAAACTATACAAATTGAAAGATAAATTTTGTTACATGGCAAACGGCGTTTCAGGGCGAATCTGCCGATAAGCTTTACACCAAAAGTAAGACAGCTCTTCGAAATCAAAATCGCAAGTTTTCACTTGTACCAGTCCATTTTAAAATTGAATTGTGGCCCTAAAGAGGGCCGTTGGGTTTGTTTGGGTTGTTCAGGCGCGCTCGCCTCTTAATCTTTCGTGTCATCGTGGTTGCTGCCGCCAGTCTTGTGGGGGAGCAGCACGGCGTGGATGTTCGGCAGCACTCCACCTTGGGCGATCGTCACACCGCTCAGCAGCTTGTTCAACTCCTCATCGTTGCGGACGGCCAGCTGGAGATGGCGGGGGTTGATGCGGGACTTCTTGTTGTCGCGAGCGGCGTTGCCAGCCAGTTCGAGCACTTCGGCGGAGAGGTACTCGAGGACGGCGGCCAAGTAAATTGGGGCACCACCGCCGACGCGTTGCGCGTATTGGCCCTTGCGGAGGAGACGTTGAATGCGGCCGACGGGGAACTGGAGACCAGCACGTGACGAGCGAGACTTGCCGGCGGCGCGCACCTTCTTGCTTCCTTTGCCTTTTCCGGACATCTTGACGGTGTCGGGCGAAGATTTGGGGAAAGATGCGTGAAAATGGGAGCAGCCGGTATTTATAGTCGGCACCGGGAAAGTGGGCGGGGCTTGGCTGTTGCGCAGGCTCCGCCCCCTTTCCCAACGGAACGCCCCCAATTTTAGCGGCTCTTCGTTTTTAGACTAGCAATTCTAAACGTTTTTATCCCGTTTTTATTCTTTTATCCCAATTTTTTATCCTCTTGTAAATGGCAAATGTCGCCAGTTCGGACGCTGGTCTTTGGATTTGTGTATTTAGTGGTTTTGTTGAAGTATTTGAACCTAAGATGACCGTATTGCTCTGTAAAGCTTGCTCTCGTGCTGTAAATAACTAAATAGGGTGTATTGACACTTTGTTTAACTTCATGACTTTTATTATACAGCTTTACTTTGCAAATTTTGCGCTCTCGGACATTTGCCAATTTTCCGTAGGTTCTCCGTTAAATAAGATGGACATGCTTTTACTAAATATCACCCCGTTGTGTCAGTGTCTTTTCTCTATCTCCCTGCCACTTTCTCAAATCCATGTCAACAGGCCGACATTTACTAATCCTCTTTTTTTCAGCACGAGCCGCCAGCAAGAAAATTCTGCACGTAAAGATGGCACGACGACGCAAGGCCGCCGCCAAGAAGCCCATGAAGAAGCCCGTCAAGCCCAACAACAACAACGCCGAGGAGGCCAACATCGACGAAGCTGTCCCATCGCCCGACACGCCCGCCCCTCTTGTCCCGCAGATCCGCAAGCGCAGGAGACAAATGACCAACTACTCGATCTACATCAATCGCGTCTTGCGACAAGTCCACCCGGAATTGCGCTCCTCCACGAAGGCCATGACGATCATGAACGGCTTTGTGACTGATCTCCTCGAACGGATTGCCGACCAATGCGTGGACCTGATGAACATCCAGAAGAAATCGACGATGACGTCACGCGAGGTGAACTCGGCCATCCGATTACTGGTGCCGGGAGAATTGTCGAGGCATGCCATCGCTGAAGGAACAAAGGCCGTCGATAAATACTTGAAATCGCGCTGATACCGCATTATAACCCCCAACCCAACGGCCCTCTTTAGGGCCACAATTGATCTATTAAAATTATCAAAGTTTACGGAGTATTGATTGATCCCGGCGTGTTTGCAAGGTGCATTTGCTATAAGCGCACGCGAAGCCTTTGAAGTTCTACGCTTCAAGATTCTGAGTATTGATTCTTGCATTTTTTTGGAGAAAGAATTCAAAGTTTAGGTTTTGACAGTGTCTATAACTTCTATTGCGGCGGTTACATCTAATAAATAAAGGCGCTTTACTTGTGATTTAGATCTAGCTTACAAGATCTTTTCTGTTGAATAACCGGTGACTGATACAAGATACGACTTTTGGCAATGTCACTCGGCATACGCGCGGCTGATAGTAGTACCGGAAGCTATATGCGCACATCCTTTTTCCAGGGTTAGGCTACTAATTTGGGTAAGATGAGCCGAAGCTAGTCGCAGTCGCAAAGCTCAGCAAGCTGGTAGGCTGAGAATGGGAAAAGCTAAATGCTGAAAAGGATTCTGAGGCCAAAGTCAAAGCAAAACTATGCGCGGGCTCTAAAGTAATGCCTACAAAGTTCATAGGATTGATTGTTTTTATCCATCGCAATTCCGCATTAACGCAGGGGTAAGCCAGCTGTAGTTGAAGCGCGAATCGGTGCAATAAAGCAGCTTGTATGTTTTTTTTCGATCTCACTTTATTATCGACGAGAAAACGAGGAAGAATAGGTGGGTGAAAAACGTAGCCATCGCATCGATGCTTTGAAAACCCTGCAAAGCTGCGGCTGGTGAAAAAGCCTGGAAAGCCACTTTAGCGCTAAGGCTATACATATATACGAGTGCTTTCTTGATCTTATATCTTACGACGCAGTTCAGGCTGAGGTTTGAGCCACAACTTCCGGCTAATGCGCTGCAAACTGATCGCGATCGTAAAAATTCGTTGAAAGGCTAGTATCAAAGCTTTCAAAAAAACTTGAGAGCCGCAAGTAGAAAAGTGTAATCAACTTTCAACGTCGCAAGTAGATTAACAAAACAAGTTCCGCAGGGCCAGATACAAACCAGGAATGGTTTCCGGCCTAACTTCATCAAAAGCTAAGCTCGAAAGCTCGAACTTGACAAGAACAGTCATCCCATTTCTACAAAGGCCACTCCTCAATTAAAAAAGTTTGAGCAATAACCGGTAAGAATTTTATAACTTTGTTTGTGGCCCTAAAGAGGGCCGTTGGGTTTATTGGGGTTTTGACAATTAGTCAGGAGCTCGATTTATGTGCGCTCTCCACGAATCCTCCTCGCGAGTTGGATATCCTTCGGCATAATCGTGACGCGCTTGGCGTGGATGGCGCAGAGGTTGGTATCTTCGAACAGGCCGACCAGGTAGGATTCGGAGGCTTCTTGCAGTGCCATCACGGCCGACGACTGGAAGCGGAGATCCGTCTTGAAATCTTGAGCAATCTCGCGAACGAGACGCTGGAAGGGCAGCTTGCGGAGGAGCAGCTCGGTGGACTTTTGGTAGCGCCGGATTTCGCGGAGGGCGACGGTTCCGGGGCGGTAGCGGTGTGGCTTCTTGACTCCTCCAGTGGCAGGGGTGGCCTTGCGGGCGGCCTTCGTCGCCAGCTGCTTCCGGGGGGCTTTTCCGCCGGCAGGACGCGTCGACTTGCGAGCAGTTTGCTTGGTGCGTGCCATCGTGCGTAGAACTTGCGATGAACGAACAAAGGTGAAAAAGTATGAGAAAACCCGCCCCTTTTATAGTGGTTACCGGGAAGGGGCGGGGCCAGCGTGGCCCCGCCCCCTTTTCAGGGTATAAAAACCGCGCTTTCCCGCGCTTTCCTATCTTGCGAATTCTACGCACTCAACTGCTGATCGACAATGTCTGGACGTGGCAAAGGCGGAAAGGGACTCGGCAAAGGAGGAGCCAAGCGTCATCGCAAGGTCCTCCGCGACAACATCCAAGGCATCACCAAGCCCGCCATCCGACGACTTGCCCGCCGTGGAGGAGTCAAGCGCATCTCGGGCCTCATCTACGAAGAAACCCGCGGCGTCCTCAAGGTGTTCCTCGAAAACGTGATCCGTGACGCCGTCACGTACTGCGAGCACGCCAAAAGGAAGACGGTCACCGCGATGGACGTCGTCTACGCTCTGAAGCGCCAGGGTCGCACCCTCTACGGATTCGGCGGCTAAGCACCATCTAATGCGACGAATGCACGAAAACAACAATTAACCCAACGGCCCTCTTTAGGGCCACAAATTTATAAAAATGTCTCAGTTGATAGTTTGAAGCCTAACCGGTTATATCGGAGGTTTGAACGCGCGAGCAAGGGGGGTGCCGGCTTTTGTTGCGGTCTAGGCCAGATCGGCTTCAGACTTGAGAAGTGGTCATAGCTAAACCGGGGGCTTTTCATAAGCGACCAAAAAAGCTATTAAACCTTATAAAATTAGGATTAAGATTAGGAACGGGACCGGAAGCCTAAGCTTGGTTTCAGCCAAGCTAAGCTTAGCTCGAAACTAAGCCTTAAATGGCCCTATTTTGACCGCGTAGGGCCATTTAAAGTTCAGGATAAGCTGTTTTTGGGTTTAAGCCCAAGCCCAAGCTAAGTCACACCTAGGCTTAAGCTGAAAACCAAGTAGCGGAGCGCCTTCTTGTAACCACTTAGCATCGATTCCCGACTGCCGCCCTAACTGCGTTAGCACCGCGCTTCCGATTAAGCTGAACAGGTGCCAATGGATGGAAACCGTCGTCAAAGTCCTGCCTTCCTTCCCCTTGGACCAGTTCCTGCCAAAATTTCCGGTCACTTCGATTTCCGGTCAAAGATCCGGCACTACCTTTCTGTCCGGTCATGCGACTACAAAAATACTTTCAGGGATAAAAATTTTATCTAAAATAACAACGTGCAAACATAACAATGAAAACAACAATCAATTCCTAAAATCAGACACAGGGTCTAGATCGTCCGTAACGAGGCACCGAGCTCTTCGACGCTCTTCAGATCCTTGATGCTCGTGAGATGAAACCTAAAAAAGGTTAATTTTTAACGACAAATCCTACTTCTTCAAGTGTTTCGCAAGATGTGCACGTGCGGTGAAGGCCCTATCACACTTTGGGCAGCCAAACGGTGTGGCACCTGAGCTGAAGTTATAAAGTTGGCTGTCTCTGATACCTGTATGCGTATTCAAGTGATCTTGTAAGCGCCCTGGCGAGGTGAAGGCTTGATCACATTGGGAGCAGGCATAGGCTTTCGGCCGCAACGGCCTAGCGTAACTAAAAGAGAGCCAATAGGTCAAGAGAGGTGTAACGTACCGCTTGTCGTGGACATCTGCACAATGTTTCTGTTTTCGATAAGCACTTGGAAACGTCTTTGGGCAATATTCGCAAGCATGAGGTCCTTAAAATCGATGAAAAAGCGATGAAACAAGCTAACCTTTGTAACTATCCAGCGCAAGCCCATTAGATAGAGAATTGTTGTTTTTCGGTGGAGATGTTGTCATCTCATCTCCAGTCTCCTCCTCGGTGAATGCTTCGCGACGGGGCGACATATCACCGGGAAATAGTGATGAGAACTCCTAAAACAAAAGTCTGAATGTATAAAGACCAGCGCGCACCTCATCTCTCTCCTCGTCGCCGTCCTCCAAAGGGGCACTCGGGTGAAACGAGTTAAAATGGGCCGTCAAACCGGAGAGATAGAGATGAGTGTCACAGCCATCAACGGGACACATGAAGCCGCTGCGATGGGCTCTAAAGCAAAAATTCGTTGAGAGAATCGAACGCACCTGTCGACGTGCAACTCCAACGTTTCCGCATTAGAATCCTGATACTCGCAAGAAGGGCATCTCGGGATATTCGAGGTTCCTGGTTCGGGTTTGCCTTGCACCTCGGCGTGAGCCTTCTTGATATGCTGGCTATAAGTGGACACGAAATTCGTTAAACACAAAAAACGAACCCCATTCGCCAAGCAGACATAGCGGCGTCGCACCCAGGAAACGGGCATAGGATACCCAGCTGGTGCTGCTTGTGGACGTGACGGCGCAGCTAAATTGAAAATGTCATTCTGCAACTATAACCACACCTGTGATTTTGTGTGGTGCTGGTAGTCACATTTGCCGCATTTGTAAACACGGCGATGTGCCTAAAATCAAGTTATAAACAACGTATTTGCCTCACCGTTGCCCAATGCTTACGCAGCTCTTCGAAGACCGCAAATCTGTCGCCACACCGCGTGCATCCGTGCTTGTCCGAGTGTTTGCTTTCAAAGTGCAGCTTTAGCTTGTTCGGGAATAGGAAGCGCATTGGGCACTTTGAGCAAGCATGAGGCAATTCTACCTAAAAAGACCGAATTTTGACTAAATAGCTATTCATACCGCCGTTCCACGCTGCTTGCGACGCTTCTTCAAGGCATGTCGAGAGGGGCGGCCACCACCTTCGTCTTCAAGCTCGCTCATTCCGGTGTCAGTCGACGAGTCCTGAAAAATATTGAACAAATTTCGGCTGCTCACTAAGCGAGGCTTCTTCCCATAGCGCTTTTGCAGCATGCGCTCATCCTCGGAGGCATTGTATTCCGAGTCAGTAGCTGCCGAAGACGTGGCCACCTCCTAAAAAGAATAGATAAAAAGCCCATCGTAATTTAAAGCTTTTGCCAACTGGATTTTCACAATAACTGCGACAAGATCATTGATAATTTTTACAAAATTACCTCGTATAATTTGCGAGTTGTGGCGCAACTCCGCTTAGGCCTCGCTGGTTTCACGAATCCCGATGTATCTTCCATCGGCTAGAAAAGAATTGCAAACCGTAAATGGCTGAAGATGCAGATACTTGTGGGCTAACAACCAAGAGTTGTGACAAAAAAAGTGAATATAATATTTATTAAAGCACGACTAATAAAACGAACAACACATATGGCAGCCCGGGGTCATGAACGATATCATTCAGTGTCGGAGTCAGTCGGTTCGAGCAGTTGGGTACGTACGTTTGATGTCTAAAAATATTTATCAAGACGCGAGAGTAAAGCACCTGTTTTTCTTCATCGCTGTCATCACCCGGCTCAAGCAAGCCAAGTTCCGCATCAGTTTTTCGCTAAAATATCCGTAAGTTGGGCAGCAAATTTCTTACCGGTTCAAGCGTCGCGCTATTGCCGGTCTTCAAAGGCACGTCGACGATATCCACAATAGCGTGGTCGGGAACCTAGAAAAACAACATAATTCTTCTTACGCTCGGCTAAAAATTACCTCGGCGGTGAAGCGAACATCCATCCAACGCGGATTTTTTGCAGTCATCAAGGTAAATCTAGCAAACCCAAAGGTTTTTCAGCTGGTATAATCCTTACCGGGAAATCGCCGCCTGTACACGCGAACGTTCTTCCGGATCCAGTGGGTGGATGGCTGTGGCAGCTTGGACACCATGAAGAAACGTTGTGAGTTGAACGAGTTCCGATGGCACTAAAAAACAATTTCAGGAAAATCGAAATAACAACTTTCAAACGATGGCAGTCCCAACAGCCTGAGTTCAGGCGGTGTAGGTGGCGAATAAGGCAGGCGGAGGAGCGCGAAACGGTCCCGGCGTCCTTGTAGCGCAGCATCCTGAAGAGAAATACATACAATACGTTGCTGCTCAATACCGAGCAAATCATGTCGATGGCATGGCTGAAGAGGTCGGGAATCGGGCGACGTTGGATGAGCCGACGGGAAGGTGCTAAAAAGAGACTCAAAGATTTCGAATTACTTTACCTCTGGAAAGTAGTTCTGGAACCGTTGGGGAGATGACAATCAAAATCCTGGATGATGAGGTCAGTGCGTTGAGGAGCCAACGGGTCGGTTTGTCGCCTAAAAAAGAGGTTAGTTGCGAAAACCGAATCCACCTGTATGCCCCAATTGCTCTTGATCTATCAAAACATTCGCATTCGCAAGCCTTCGGATAGAGGCTCCAAGCTGCGTGACGACATCACTGTGCTCCTAAAAGAATTTATAATGCGTAAAATAATGTCGACTACCTGACAATCGTCCGCAAAAATTATGCAGACTGTCGGACGTTCGGTCAATTCGAAGCTACGCGGATTCTTCAACGCTCTGCGACGCAGGAAAGCCAAAACGGCACACCCTCCAACACCGACCATGAGCACGACGGCTGAAGCAAAGATAGGTTTTTTATCCTGGGCGTTTGGTTACCTAGTAGGATCGCCAACACGAAAAACCCAGCATCCTTGACGCCTCGAACCGTCCGCCATGGAATGCTCGCCTACAAAAAAATTACAGCGAACAACAGGGACCAACCTTGTGCTCCGATAGTGTGAAGTTTATAGGGGTGTGAATGCAGACTTTACACACATTATGTTGGCCCTCGCAGATCAGCCGGCAATCATGACGCGGCACATAGACAAATACGGTGTAATGGCCCAAAGGAGCGTCCTTCCACTTGATTCCCATGACGGGGTATTTGACCACGAAATCCTGCAAGCTTTATTGAACCGGAGCTTATCTTGCATACCTCGATAATACGCAGGGCCTTGCTGTCGAGTGTGCGTTCTGCCACGGATATCTGCATCTCCTGCCAGATGTAGTATTCAGGCGGCGAAAAGCGGACCCAAACGCCATCCGATTCGGATATGTCGATCATAACGAGCGGCGCCCATTCCTCCATCTGGTTGATTTTCACATCCTAAATGGGAATAATCTACGAGCCAATTCGGAACATGCCTGGCCCTGGTATACGTGCGCCACCTCCGGGAAAATATCGCCGATTGATGGAACCGTCGCTAGCAACGAAACCCTAAAGAAAGAGCCTTGAGTAATAAATGCAGCAACCTACTGGCAATTACTCGGGTATAACGTCGCGTTGATCCGATATTGTGAAAACCCATAAAGCCGGAAACAGTCGTAGTTGAACCGAATCGGTAACTAAGGGAACAAAACATTAAAAACCCTCAAAAACATACAATTGGTCGGGATCCTTTAAGGCTCAAAGCGCGACATGGGGAGATGGTGTGCCCGTTAGAATGCATCAGGGCCTAAAGCAATCTCAATAGGAAGCCCGAAGTCTTACATTCGGATTATGGCAATACTGGTCTTCTTGGTCAGATGCTTGAAGACATTCCATCTGCACATAAAGCCAGTCAAACGGAACAAAAACGTCGACGGTGATATTCATAGTCATATATGGAAGCCTATAAAAATTATCGGCAAGACCCCAAAAAATTACATGCTCAAGCGATCCGGAATTATGCGCACCGGCCCCACATTTAGCACTGCCGTCGATGGGGGACAAACTGAAGGATCAACCGCCGCCTGCAGAGCATCTCTCTAAAAAGGCACTAGATCCCGGAAAAAACCCCACCTTCAAGCTTTGGAAGCAAGTGATGGTAGTGTTTTTGATCTCATAGCGGCCGGGATCACGGACCAGCGAGTGATCGTCGCGGTAGAAAATCCGCACGCCGTCATATCCACCACACTGATCTCTCTCCAACCCCAGGGCGCCAACCAAAACAAACGGGAAGAACAGCAAAAAGGATAGCACAAACATGATCAATGAAGTTTATACAAGAGATAAATGATGAAAGGATAATAAGCGTAAACTATTGGATCGAAGCTTCCGGGCGTTCCTCGGGCGTTGGCGTAACCGCGGCCAACGCTTCTCTGTTCTCTTTTGCTCGAATGAACGTCTTCGGATGGATCGGGAAGAGGCCGGACAGACCTTAGAAAGTTCATTTAAAAATATATAATAACTAACCAAGAACTTCCAGCACCGGAACAGAGATGTGCGCGTTTCGCTCCCCGATCCAATATTTTATCCTCCCGATGTTCAACGCGACCAGCTTCTCGTTGTTCTTGTTCGGCAACGGGTCGAAAGAGCCGACCTAAAAAAGCTGAGTAGAACGAAATAATGATTACCTGCTCGATGATGTTTCCTTCGTAACGCCTCCCAAGTGACTTGTCGGGGAAAACGCAAATGTGGTAGAATGGACGGTTTTTACAGCCAAACAGCGCGAGCCCTGGAATCGAGCTATTAGGGATGATAAGAGAGTCACCATGGCGAGGGTGTCTCCCCGGGGCAGCTCCGATATCAATGGTATCACTTTTACACTAAGACTAATGTTTGACTACATTGCCGATTCCGCAAATTGGCCGGGCACTAGCAGGAAAGTTTAGAAAAGGGGATGAACTTACCAAGGGATGGTCTGCCAAAGGTTCTCGGGTTGACTAATTGACGCATCGCTGTGAAGGCCCGCAATTGCTCATCAAACGCGATGAGCTTTCTGAAAAGGAGCGTTGTAGGAGTAATATGAAAGGAAGTACATATCCGTAGAAAAACATAAAACAGTCCAGATAATGTGACGAAGGGTGGCCGATCATGGCTCCCAAGCTATACAATTCAAACTCCGATCACTACAGGATGTCCAAAAATCAGTTTTACTGAAAAAGGTTAATCATTTTTCCAATTTTTAAGGTCTAGCTAAAAGTGCAAGAAATGAACGCCGCTACTGAGCAAAACGATACAACCGCCCGAAAAAATTAGAATTTAGGAGATTCCGTCTGCGCCTGCGCACGAATTCCCGTCATTTGAACCCTGCCGTACTGCACTTTTTCTTTTTTCTAAAGTTTCTAACATTTTAGAAAAACTAAGTTTCTTTAGTAAATCGGCCCACTTTTGTTTATGTTAGCTAAACATACTACACCTAACGACGGTTGTCAATTGGGAACGTTCCCAGGATGTCGCCGCAGGACCCGACCCCTGGAGTCTGGCATCGCGCCAGCCGATTTGAATACCGGTCTGTTGAGAGCGCTCGTGACAACGCGCCCCCAGGCTACATAAGCGGCTTTGTAAAGGAAGTGGAAAAAGAATAAAAAAAATCGATATAACGCTATATCTTTCCACTCTATTCCTGTCCTCTATGGAACGCCATCATCACCAACATTGCTTTCAGCCTCAGCAGTCGATGTACAATTCGTGACGGGCACCGAATCCTTTCGAGATGGTACAGAATGGCGGTGCGCCAAAGCTACCGAAGCTCTACGGCAAGATTGCCCCAATAATTAACGATGTGCTCTACTTTGCCTCTTTCGAAAGCACACCCCCGCCAAACATCGATGTAGGCCATTTTTCGCTTGTTCCAATGCCTTCTTTCAGTACCGCTATATTTTCATCGACGAACGCGTGCACTACGAGCCTTTCTACACGGATTTTGGGCCGTTGAATTTGAGTGTACTCTATCGTTTTTGCAAGTACCTGCACGGCCTTGTTGAGGTTCGTATTAAATCATTTTTTGGTAAAGAACTTTTTAGGCTCGTTCTAAACGGAAAATTCTGTGCTGGACGAAGGCTGATGATGAAGCCCGGGACGAGAACCGTGTAAATGGCGCCTATTTGATGGCAGCGTACTTGGTAAGCTAAAGTTTTCCATGGCTTACCTCCGACCTAGATAATTTATCACAACATCAGCGCCGATCAAGCCTATCTGCGTATTCAGGTATGTTGAGCTAGAAAAGATACGGGATTTCTGAAGACGACATTATGTGCCGCTTAACTGAATATTTTCAGAATGCTGAAGATGAAGAGTCCGAATATGTCGGCTTTCGCGACGCCGCTATGGGAGAGCCCAGCTATCTCCTTCACATCCATGACGTACTGCGTGGCGTTGAAAAGGTGAGGGTGTCGTGATTTGCTCATTTTTTTCCGATTAGGCGATAGAACATGGGTGGCTGTGCTTCGACAATTTCGACGCCGACGAGTACGAACATTACGAGCGGTAAATTTTTTTACTTTCCAGTCAATATTGTGTTTAGCGTTGAAAACGGCGATTTCAACTGGATCATTCGCGGAAAGATTCTATCGTTTTGCGGGCCGCATGAGCAAACTGTGATTGATGGAGGTAATAAAAAAACGGTTATTATTATCCTGTTCAGGGTACCCTTACCACGCTCCTGAGGTGTACTTCGACTATTTTCGCGAACACAATGTGACAACGATTGTCAGGTTGAACATGAAGATGTACGAAGCATCTCGGTGGGTTTATTTGGTCAAACAGTGTGTGTTGTTTGCGAAAATAAATAAAAATTGTAGAATTCAAGAAATTCTTAACCCTGATTTCTAGGTTCACGGACGCCGGATTTGACCACGTTGATCTATTTTTCATCGATGGAAGTACGCCTTCTGACGCTATAGTGGAGCGTTTCATCAAGGTTGTCGATGAGGCGCCTGGCGGAGTGGCCATTCACTGCAAAGCTGGTATGGATTATATTCCTCACACTGACTGGTGTATTATTTAGGTCTTGGGCGGACCGGTACGCTGATTGCTTGCTGGATGATGAAGGAGTACGGGCTGACGGCGGCCGAGTGCATGGCTTGGCTCCGGATCTGCCGGCCAGGCAGCGTCATTGGCCCACAGCAACAATTTCTGGTTAGTCCCCGAACTACTCTGTTAATCCTTTTTTTGCAGGTTCGTAAGCAAAAGTTTTGCTGGCGCATGTCCAACAACAATCTCATCGTGCAAATGGCTCCAAAGAAGAAGACGTCGCTCACCGAGAAGCCTGATGGCCGCCTGAAGCAGTTGGCCTCGAAGGTATTGTTAAACCACGTCTATCCATTTTTTATTAATTTGTAGGTGGACGAGATTCGTCTGAACCAGAATAAGCCACTAGTCGAATCCCCCGTTCACCGCAGCTCGAGATCCTGTAAAATTTCTGGACAGGTCGTCGATGAGGTTTGGTTTGGGTTTTTTTTTTGCGAAATAGATATTTTAGACGGCTGTCGATGAGGAAGGAAACACGCAGGGAGATCGACTTTTGGCTATGAAAGTGCGAAGCCAGCACGCTGCTCACCAGCCAGATATGGAGAGCAAGGTATGAATGCATCTTTGAAGTCAGTAGTTTTTTTTTGTAGGCGACCAGCTCGCGTGTCACCTTCAACAACGACGTGAAGAATTATACACTTCCTGCTGATCACTCGCCACCGCGCAGCCCTGTCCAGAACGGCAACCACACCTCGCTACGACGTGCCGCCCGGGTATATCTAGCTTTCCCCTACGCAAACACAATTTTCTAGAGTGCTTCCGGAATCTATGGAATTTGCTCGCCGCAAAACATCCCCCATACAACACAACATATATCTTCATCGCCTAGGTGAGCCTTTTAATTTTCTTTCGGATTTAAACTTACCGTTTAGATACTCATCTCCAACCACTCCCATCAAACCAATTTCATCGGTCTCTTCGACAGCTGGCCGCCACGCCCCGAGAAATCTGTATGCCTCATCGCCGGTTCATGCAGTACCAGTTCCGGTCAGTTTTTTTACCGTAACGTGCATCTCGATTGACCAAAAATGAGAAACTGCAGAAACGCTAGTGCTAAGTAGAGTTATGCCATATATCGTGTATTTTGTTTTGGAGTGTCTCATTTTTGGTTTTTAAGCAGAAAGGGGAGCTAGTTGGCGTGTGCCCGCAAAACCCGAAATCTTCGCTGGTGTTTTTTTGTGTAGTTTTCTACCATAGCGGCACTGCTGACTTGCTCCTTTTTTGTGATAGCATGTGGCGAATTCTTTTCGGTTCTGATTCGTTATCGGGGGGGTCTTTTATTCTGGCTAATATCCTTGGGCATAACACAAACTATTGTTATAGACTAGAGTGCGGCTTATTCAAACCGGGTTTGAATAAGATTTCCGTTATTCAAATCAAACCGGTCTGATTTGAATACGGGATCCTTATTCAAACCAAATCCGGTTTGAATAAGAATTCCCAACTGAAACCAAACCAAACCGGTTTGAATAATTTGAACAAGGTTTGAATAAGAACCAGTCTCCGAAACAGTCTGTTTTCGGCACCATTTTTGCGTTTTGGCACCAATCCTTTGTGAATCACTTTAGGGTGGTCAAGCATTCCTGCCAGGTTTTTGGGGTTAGCGGATCATTTCGAGACTTTTTCTTTCAGCGCTGCCAAGGTTATCCCGACCATTTGTATGCTTGGGAAAGGTTGTGAATGCCAAGCCTATCGTTGAAAAAGTGCGTAGACCCCGTAAATTTCATCACTATATTGATCACACAAGGTTTTAGAAGGGATGCCTCGAAAACTTAGCCGATTAGCGTCCATCCCATCGATTAACATGCTGATTTGCCTGTTGTTCAAACCAATTCAAACCAACTCAAACCTGGTCGGTTTGGTTTGAATAACGGATCCTTATTCAAACCAAACCGGTTTGATTTGAAAAGCCGATTCTTATTCAAACCGCCCTTATTCAAATCAAACCGGTTTGAGTCGCGATTTGATTTGAATAAGCCGCACTCTATTATAGACTAGGAGTTTTCGATCACTGCAGAGTTATGGCTATAGATTTTTGAAAAATACGAATCAATGAGGGCCCAAAAGTTGACGATTTGAACAGCTTTGTTCCAATTTTTGCATATTTCGTGCCTCCGGGATCATCGGAAAAATTTAGCCCCCGATAAAGAACCAGAACCGTTTTTCCGTTCCTTTTTCTCCCTCAGCTGTCGCCGTTGTGTAGTGATTTTTCTTCAGGCACCATTCCGGGATTGGGATTAAAGCGGCGAGAGAGCGAAGCAACGAACGCCGTTTTATGCCACACTTCCCGCTACCTTTCTCTCACTCCTAACGCCCGTACTTGCAGATTAAAACTAACTAACTTTCGGCATAACTCCTCCCTCCCCTCCCCTAGCTCATTTACCCTTGTATTGTTCAGTTTCTATACGCTTTCGGTTCCGTGCATATGGTATTACCTCTTCAGTCGCATGCATTTCTATCTCACTTTGTTACGTTGCTGGTCCTTTGAATAAACTCGTTCATATGCACGGTGTGTTGGTGATCACAAAAAAGAACCTTAAAGCCGTTGTTTCAGATCACGAAGGTTACGGTGTTGTCCGCATCAAATATCTTTGTCGGAAGTTCCCGGCCTTCGGCGGCACTGAGACGCGCTACATCCTCGGGGTATGTCTTCGCTTCCGGAAATTACATCTTGTTTTAGCGCGATAAGAAACGAAAAACGAACGCTCAAAATGTGGTAGGGTTCTGAATATATTGTAGATGCGCTCTTTGACCCGTCGTGTTTGTGTTTCCTCTCGGTCGAGACGTGTAGTAACATTCAATGGAGTTGAAGTGTAGTAAAGACGTAATTTTTCAGTAATACTCGGCTGCGACCCTACCCGACTACATCTACCGGGTTGAGACTAGACCTATCGCCATCGAGCCCTGGGAACAGTTACGATTTGCGCTCGAGTGAGACCTAAAAAAGGAATAATAACTGGCTTAGGACACTCTCCAGGACAAGTTAGAGGCTACGTCTCCCCGAGTGCTGCTCTCCCTACCAATGCTGAAGCATTGCTGGTAAAAATAAACTTTCTGTTTTATCCCCGATCTAGAGGGCGCGAGGGCTGAAGAAGAAATACACTACCCACGGGATCGCCGCTCTCGCGAAATCTCTGCAAAACCGCTAGAATCCTTCTCGAATAGGCAATAACTCAATTTCGCACTTTTTCTGTATATATTTTCCTCCGCCTTATGCCTGCTGGCCAGTCGATTTACTTATCAAATAAGGAAATCCGATCTGCAATCGCATTTGCACCGTGCTAAAAACAGTGTCTTGATCATCCCAATTGCCACGTCTGTGTCATTGCCAATTATCCACCGCCAAATCTAACCCCCCAACCCCTTTCCCGCCAAAATGAAGCTGGCTTCATCCCCCATGTGTCCCAAACAACTTCTGCAATGCAAAATATTTTTATTTCGTTCAAATAAAGGATTCATCGATTAAATGTAAAAAGAAAAATCACGAAAAAGCACGTACTCGTAAACTAGCAACAGCAAAAAATGTGTTCTCCTAAACTAGCCTGGGTGAATGAGATGCTGGAAAGTAGACGGGTTTGAGGTGCAGTTCAATACGTTGGTCGTAGAAACTCGGGCTTCAACATCTTAGCCCTTGCGCGACAGCCATGAAGACACCAAACGATCCACCGGATTGTACGGCCGTTTTGCCCATCTGAAAATTGATGATGTAAAGGCTAGTATCTTACCGCCGTCAGCATCTCTTTCCCACGTAATCCTCCACGAAACGCCGCGAAACCGCCCAGCAACACGCCAGTGGCTCCTCCTATCATCATGCCCATCATGAAGCCCATCTAAATAACGAGATTGGTCCCGGATAAACAAAATAAAATACCCGAAGTTTTTGGAAGCAGCTGACATCATTGCCGCCGGGAACGCCATGTGCAGCAACGGCCGGCATCGAGGAGAGGTTCTAAAACAAGAAAATTGACGTAATTTTATAGAAAATAAAAGGTTCAAAAAAAGACAAAAATATGTAAGTTTTCTTTATCTACAAACCAAAAATTTTCTTTATCTACAAACCAAAAAAAGAGCCTCTGCAATGGCAGGACCACGCAGGGATGCTATTGACGGTGGATTGCATGCATTCGGGCGTTCCCCTTAGCCGGCGTGTGATAGATATCGTTGGCTAAAGCTAAATTTAAAAAATTTTTCCTATTATATTATATACCAGCCGATTACAGCCGCGTCGCGGCTGTAATCGGCTGGCCTTCGGGCTACCTTCCATATTCTACACCACCACATTCCTTCCCTAACTTTATCAATATCCGTGCTGATGGCTTTAGATACCCCCCATAGCCGAAACCCCCGTTAAAACACTACTTAGAAAACTCCTGATGGCTCCAAATACGCCCCATAGCCGAAATCCCCTTCAAAAACTACCTAAATACCTTCCTGATGGCTTCAGATACCCCCCATGGCTGAAATCCCCTTCAAAAATTACCTAAATACCTTCCTGATGGCTTCAGATACCCCCCATGGCTGAAATCCCCTTCAAAAATTACCTAAATACCTTCCTGATGGCTTCAGATACCCCCCATGGCTGAAATCCCCTTAAAAAAACTACCTAAATACCTTCCCGATAGCTACAGATACCCTCCATGGCTGAAATCCCCTTCAAAAACTACCTAAATACCTTCCTGATGGCTTCAGATACCCCCCATGGCTGAAATCCCCTTCAAAAACTACCTAAATACCTTCCCGATAGCTACAGATACCCCCCATGGCTGAAATCCCCTTCAAAAACTACCTAAATACCTTCCTGATGGCTTCAGATACCCCCCATGGCTGAAATCCCCTTCAAAAACTACCTAAATACCTTCCTGATGGCTTCAGATACCCCCCATGGCTGAAATCCCCTTCAAAAATTACCTAAATACCTTCCTGATGGCTTCAGATACCCCCCATGGCTGAAATCCCCTTCAAAAACGACCTAAATACCTTCCTGATGGCTTCAGATACCCCCCATGGCTGAAATCCCCTTCAAAAACTACCTAAATACCTTCCTGATGGCTTCAGATACCCCCCATGGCTGAAATCCCCTTCAAAAACTACCTAAATACCTTCCTGATGGCTTCAGATACCCCCATGGCTGAAATCCCCTTCAAAAATTACCTAAATACCTTCCCGATAGCTTCAGATACCCGCATGGCTGAAATCCCCTTCAAAAACGACCTAAATACCTTCCTGATGGCTTCAGATACCCCCATGGCTGAAATCCCCTTCAAAAACTACCTAAATACCTTCCTGATGGCTTCAGATACCCCCCATGGCTGAAATCCCCTTCAAAAATTACCTAAATACCTTCCCGATAGCTTCAGATACCCGCATGGCTGAAATCCCCTTCAAAAACGACCTAAATACCTTCCTGATGGCTTCAGATACCCCCCATGGCTGAAATCCCTTCAAAAACTACCTAAATACCTTCCTGATGGCTTCAGATACCCCCCATGGCTGAAATCCCCTTCAAAAACTACCTAAATACCTTCCTGATGGCTTCAGATACCCCCATGGCTGAAATCCCCTTCAAAAACTACCTAAATACCTTCCTGATGGCTTCAGATACCCCCCATGGCTGAAATCCCCTTCAAAAATTACCTAAATACCTTCCCGATAGATTCAGATACCCGCATGGCTGAAATCCCCTTCAAAAACGACCTAAATACCTTCCTGATGGCTTCAGATACCCCCCATGGCTGAAATCCCCTTCAAAAACTACCTAAATACCTTCCTGATGGCTTCAGATACCCCCCATGGCTGAAATCCCCTTCAAAAACTACCTAAATACCTTCCCGATAGCTTCAGATACCCGCATGGCTGAAATCCCCTTCAAAAACGACCTAAATACCTTCCTGATGGCTTCAGATACCCCCCATGGCTGAAATCCCCTTCAAAAACTACCTAAATACCTTCCTGATGGCTTCAGATACCCCCCATGGCTGAAATCCCCTTCAAAAATTACCTAAATACCTTCCCGATAGCTTCAGATACCCGCATGGCTGAAATCCCCTTCAAAAACGACCTAAATACCTTCCTGATGGCTTCAGATACCCCCCATGGCTGAAATCCCCTTCAAAAACTACCTAAATACCTTCCTGATGGCTTCAGATACCCCCCATGGCTGAAATCCCTTCAAAAATTACCTAAATACCTTCCCGATAGCTTCAGATACCCGCATGGCTGAAATCCCCTTCAAAAACGACCTAAATACCTTCCTGATGGCTTCAGATACCCCCCATGGCTGAAATCCCTTCAAAAACTACCTAAATACCTTCCTGATGGCTTCAGATACCCCCATGGCTGAAATCCCCTTCAAAAATTACCTAAATACCTTCCCGATAGCTTCAGATACCCGCATGGCTGAAATCCCCTTCAAAAACTACCTAAATACCTTCCTGATGGCTTCCAGATACCCCCCATGGCTGAAATCCCTTCAAAAACTACCTAAATACCTTCCTGATGGCTTCAGATACCCCCCATGGCTGAAATCCCTTCAAAAATTACCTAAATACCTTCCCGATAGCTTCAGATACCCGCATGGCTGAAATCCCCTTCAAAAACGACCTAAATACCTTCCTGATGGCTTCAGATACCCCCCATGGCTGAAATCCCCTTCAAAAACTACCTAAATACCTTCCTGATGGCTTCAGATACCCCCCATGGCTGAAATCCCTTCAAAAACTACCTAAATACCTTCCTGATGGCTTCAGATACCCCCCATGGCTGAAATCCCCTTCAAAAACTACCTAAATACCTTCCTGATGGCTTCAGATACCCCCATGGCTGAAATCCCCTTCAAAAATTACCTAAATACCTTCCCGATAGCTTCAGATACCCGCATGGCTGAAATCCCCTTCAAAAACGACCTAAATACCTTCCTGATGGCTTCAGATACCCCCATGGCTGAAATCCCTTCAAAAACTACCTAAATACCTTCCTGATGGCTTCAGATACCCCCCATGGCTGAAATCCCTTCAAAAACTACCTAAATACCTTCCCGATAGCTTCAGATACCCGCATGGCTGAAATCCCTTCAAAAACGACCTAAATACCTTCCTGATGGCTTCAGATACCCCCCATGGCTGAAATCCCCTTCAAAAACTACCTAAATACCTTCCTGATGGCTTCAGATACCCCCCATGGCTGAAATCCCCTTCAAAAATTACCTAAATACCTTCCTGATGGCTTCAGATACCCCCATGGCTGAAATCCCCTTCAAAAACTACCTAAATACCTTCCTGATGGCTTCAGATACCCCCCATGGCTGAAATCCCTTCAAAAATTACCTAAATACCTTCCCGATAGCTTCAGATACCCGCATGGCTGAAATCCCTTCAAAAACGACCTAAATACCTTCCTGATGGCTTCAGATACCCCCCATGGCTGAAATCCCTTCAAAAAACTACCTAAATACCTTCCCGATAGCTTCAGATACCCGCATGGCTGAAATCCCCTTCAAAAACGACCTAAATACCTTCCTGATGGCTTCAGATACCCCCCATGGCTGAAATCCCCTTCAAAAACTACCTAAATACCTTCCTGATGGCTTCAGATACCCCCATGGCTGAAATCCCCTTCAAAAATTACCTAAATACCTTCCTGATGGCTTCAGATACCCCCCATGGCTGAAATCCCCTTCAAAAACTACCTAAATACCTTCCTGATGGCTTCAGATACCCCCATGGCTGAAATCCCCTTCAAAAATTACCTAAATACCTTCCCGATAGCTTCAGATACCCGCATGGCTGAAATCCCCTTCAAAAACGACCTAAATACCTTCCTGATGGCTTCAGATACCCCCATGGCTGAAATCCCCTTCAAAAACTACCTAAATACCTTCCTGATGGCTTCAGATACCCCCCATGGCTGAAATCCCTTCAAAAATTACCTAAATACCTTCCCGATAGCTTCAGATACCCGCATGGCTGAAATCCCCTTCAAAAACGACCTAAATACCTTCCTGATGGCTTCAGATACCCCCCATGGCTGAAATCCCCTTCAAAAACTACCTAAATACCTTCCTGATGGCTTCAGATACCCCCCATGGCTGAAATCCCCTTCAAAAACTACCTAAATACCTTCATGATGGCTTCAGATACCCCCCATGGCTGAAATCCCCTTCAAAAATTACCTAAATACCTTCCCGATAGCTTCAGATACCCGCATGGCTGAAATCCCCTTCAAAAACGACCTAAATACCTTCCTGATGGCTTCAGATACCCCCCATGGCTGAAATCCCCTTCAAAAACTACCTAAATACCTTCCTGATGGCTTCAGATACCCCCCATGGCTGAAATCCCCTTCAAAAACTACCTAAATACCTTCCCGATAGCTTCAGATACCCGCATGGCTGAAATCCCCTTCAAAAACGACCTAAATACCTTCCTGATGGCTTCAGATACCCCCATGGCTGAAATCCCCTTCAAAAACTACCTAAATACCTTCCTGATGGCTTCAGATACCCCCATGGCTGAAATCCCCTTCAAAAATTACCTAAATACCTTCCCGATAGCTTCAGATACCCGCATGGCTGAAATCCCCTTCAAAAACGACCTAAATACCTTCCTGATGGCTTCAGATACCCCCCATGGCTGAAATCCCCTTCAAAAATTACCTAAATACCTTCCCGATAGCTTCAGATACCCGCATGGCTGAAATCCCCTTCAAAAACGACCTAAATACCTTCCTGATGGCTTCAGATACCCCCCATGGCTGAAATCCCCTTCAAAAACTACCTAAATACCTTCCTGATGGCTTCAGATACCCCCCATGGCTGAAATCCCCTTCAAAAATTACCTAAATACCTTCCCGATAGCTTCAGATACCCGCATGGCTGAAATCCCCTTCAAAAACTACCTAAATACCTTCCTGATGGCTTCAGATACCCCCCATGGCTGAAATCCCCTTCAAAAACTACCTAAATACCTTCCTGATGGCTTCAGATACCCCCCATGGCTGAAATCCCCTTCAAAAATTACCTAAATACCTTCCCGATAGCTTCAGATACCCGCATGGCTGAAATCCCCTTCAAAAACGACCTAAATACCTTCCTGATGGCTTCAGATACCCCCATGGCTGAAATCCCTTCAAAAACTACCTAAATACCTTCCTGATGGCTTCAGATACCCCCCATGGCTGAAATCCCCTTCAAAAACTACCTAAATACCTTCCTGATGGCTTCAGATACCCCCCATGGCTGAAATCCCTTCAAAAACTACCTAAATACCTTCCTGATGGCTTCAGATACCCCCCATGGCTGAAATCCCCTTCAAAAATTACCTAAATACCTTCCCGATAGCTTCAGATACCCGCATGGCTGAAATCCCCTTCAAAAACGACCTAAATACCTTCCTGATGGCTTCAGATACCCCCATGGCTGAAATCCCTTCAAAAACGACCTAAATACCTTCCTGATGGCTTCAGATACCCCCCATGGCTGAAATCCCTTCAAAAACTACCTAAATACCTTCCCGATAGCTTCAGATACCCGCATGGCTGAAATCCCCTTCAAAAACGACCTAAATACCTTCCTGATGGCTTCAGATACCCCCCATGGCTGAAATCCCCTTCAAAAACTACCTAAATACCTTCCTGATGGCTTCAGATACCCCCATGGCTGAAATCCCCTTCAAAAATTACCTAAATACCTTCCCGATAGCTTCAGATACCCGCATGGCTGAAATCCCCTTCAAAAACGACCTAAATACCTTCCTGATGGCTTCAGATACCCCCCATGGCTGAAATCCCCTTCAAAAACTACCTAAATACCTTCCTGATGGCTTCAGATACCCCCCATGGCTGAAATCCCCTTCAAAAATTACCTAAATACCTTCCCGATAGCTTCAGATACCCGCATGGCTGAAATCCCCTTCAAAAACTACCTAAATACCTTCCTGATGGTTTAAAATACCTCCCCTAGCCCGAAATCCCCTTAAAAAACAAAAATAACGACCGACCGGATGGAATGAGAGAAAAAAAGAAATGAAATCCCCCGTGAAAATTTTCATCCACGAAACGCGCGCCACCTGGCTCACTATGTCCAAAATCACCCCAACCTCCGTCCCCCACCCCTTTTACTAAGGAAAAACTTTCAAAGTTAATTCTAATAATTTAAACTAAAAGTTTTTCATAATTTTTTTATCAGTTTGGGGGTTTCTGACCACGCTCTATCCGAATCCGAAGAGACCTAAGCTCTAGCTCCTTTCCCCTTCGAGTTGAATCCGGGACACGACGGACAGACAGACAGACAGACGGACGCCTCTACTTTTTTATTATAGTTGATTCCTATTATTATATCCTACTATATATAAAAAAATAGTGTCTGTGTGTGTGTCTGTGTGTGTGTGCCACTTTGCATCCACTTCCGTGTGTCTGTCCGGAGGATATCTCGAAAGGGGATGTATTTTAAGGTATCAATGATACGTCATTAGGTGCGTAATGGCCTGGAGATGACTGCACGCTTAACAGATTTAACAAAACCACCTATTTTCGACATTAAATTTAAGTTTTTATGAAAAGTTCTTTGTTAGGGACAATTAGCATTGACCGGAAGTTGGGATTCGACTATATAAATGGATAGGGGAGGCCGTTTTTCATTCTTTTGTCATCCGAATTTAGGACATTATGCAAAATGAATGATAAAATGCGGTCCCACGGGGCCAGGGTTGAAAAGTCGCGAAGCGGCTTTTCAACCCTGGTTCCTATTAATAAAGTAAATTTCAAAAAAATTAGCAAAATCTGTCGCTAAAACGAATCTAGAAGTCACTCTATTAATCTAAAGCCCATAAAGACGTATCATTTAGGTGCGTCTGATCCTTGCCCTAATTCGTGCAAAATTATTCTTATTTTTCGGTTATAAGTTATATTTTCTAGTCAAATATTTTTTTGTTTAGGAGATGCATTCGGCCTACTCCCGAGGCAATGCGTTATTCGCCTTCATGCTATGGGTGCTGTCCGCCGTGACGTTCGCCTGCTTCCTCAGCACCGTTTTCTTGGATTCATCGGTCAAAGTGGACGTGACGGTATCGAATCCCCGTGTCCGGTCGGTCGTCGATTACGCGTCAAGCACTGAACAATCCGATCTCGGCCTCCTTGACTTCTCCATCAACGTGGATTTGACGCCAGTGTTCAACTGGAACGTCAAGCAGGTCTTCCTGTACCTGGTTGCCGAATACTCGACCTCGGAGAACCCAGTGAATCAAGTTGTGCTCTGGGACAAGATCGTCCTCCGCGCCACACGGGTCGTCATCGATGAACGACGGGTGCAGCCAAAGTACTACTTCCTCGACGACGGCAACCACCTGCTCAACCATAAGAATGTTTCACTAATTCTGCGATACAACATCGTCCCGAACTCTGGCTATCTGCGGCTTGCCCAAGCAAAAGAACACACGGTCATGACCTTCCCATCAACCTATACCACTTCCAAACATTAAACATCACGTGTCATTCCTGCATTTCCGGCTTCTCTTAACTTGTGATCACTTTTCGGGGTTTCCTTTCGTCGTCTTATCCATAATATATATAATGATATTTATTTCTGTCTGCTGTGTTTGTGTAATATCACTGGTGGCGCTAAATAAATTTTCCAGTGCTGGATGCCCGCGCTTGAATGGAGAACAATCGAACGAACGGGGCATACGCGCTGGGAGTGGTGAGCCTCGTGTCGGCCATCCAAATAGCTCTGATCAAATGCTACACATCCACGGATTTTGAGGTATGAGGCGTAGGAACGTAGATGATTGAATTTGTTAGGTTCACCGTAATTGGATGGCCATCACCCACCAGTTGCCTTTGTCGAAATGGTACTTCGAGGAGACATCCGAATGGACGTTGGACTATCCACCGTTTTTTGCTTACTTTGAAAAGGTTAGATTCCAAAGTGGTAGCATATTTGTTTAGCTCCTCTCGGTATTCGCCAAGGGCTTCGGGCTAGCTGAAATTTTGCGCATCAGTAAAGAACCTATCTTCAACGACAGCGTACTGATCTTCCAACGTTTCTCGGTCATCTTCACGCATCTAATTTACGTGGGATAGCTTTGATCAGCATTGAGATCTAATTTAGGCGCTATCATGTTACATACTATGCTTCCGAAAACATGGACATTGGGCCCAAATGCCGAAGGGATTGGTTAGTTTCTGCGGTTTCCTAGAAGCTCATTGTTTTCTAGAGACGAAGAGCTCGCATCGCACTGTTCGCAGTATTGGTTGCAAATATCGGGTTCTTTATCGTCGACAGCGTTCATTTCCAGGTTACTGCCTTTTTCGTACCATAAATTCTGTTTTAGTATAACGGGCTATTGACAACATTTGTGATCCTCTCCACCACTTATGCCAGCGAAAACAAATTTCTAAAGGTGAGGTCCTAAACAATGCAAGATTTCCGTTTCAGGCAGCCATTGCCTTTTGTGCCTTGCTGAATTTCAAGCACATCTACGTGTATTATGCTCCGGCATTTGTGGGTTACTATTTGTTGCACTACTTTGGACTGCGCTTCGGGTCTTCGCCTACGGAGATAATGCGGAAAGGTGCGAAATAGGACCTTGTGGAAATTACGGTCGTATAGGGTTACTGTTAGCCGTCATGATGTCAATTCCGTTCTTGCTATCCTTCGGTCCATTCTTTTTGGCGGGTGGATTCGACGGTATCAAGCAGATAATCGCACGTTTATTTCCACTTCAGAGAGGTGATCGAAAACCAGTGCACATTGTAAGCAGTCTCTATTTAGGCCTTACCCACGCGTATTGGGCACCGAATTTTTGGGCGCTCTACAATTTTGCCGACCTCTTGCTCTACAAATTGTCTTGCCTGGCTGGTTACAAATTGGCCGCACCGACGTACACGAGCGGATTAGTTCAGGTCTGTTTTTGCGAAATTTATTTTTTAACCCACCTGACGCAGCATCAGTTGGAGCTCAAGGACGAAATTTTAGGAATACAATCACGTCGTGCTCCCGTCAATTGGCCCGAACGCTTCGTTACTTTTGACGGCGATCTCGCTCGGTGTTCTTCTTGCCCTCTCCTGCAAACGGCGCCCAACGGACTTCTCGATCTTCATGACCGTCTCTGCCTACTCGTTCTTCCTATTCGGATACCATGTTCACGAAAAAGCCATCATCCTCATCACCATTCCGTTGACCATCGCGGCTTTCACGGTAATTTTGTGCATTCGTATAACATGATTATTGTGTTTAGAATCCAATCTATCTCTCGCCATGGTTTCTGCTGAACACCGTCTCGATCACGTCGCTCTTGCCGCTGCTTTTCACCTCTTACGAGGTCGGATCAGTTGTATTTTTGATGATTTGTTTAGATACCTATCAAATACGCCGCCGGACTCGGTTTCTATTGCCTGAGCTTGGTCTGCATGAAGTATGTATATTCGGTGAGGCTGGGAAGGATAATATCTCCGTCTACTGTATATTACTTCGCGGGTCTGGTCATGCTCGAGCTCTACAACACCCTTCTACATAAGGTTAATCTTTTTCAATACCTCAAGATCTTCGGTACAGGTTGTCTTCGGTGATCGCTTATCATTTTTGCCACTAATGCTGATCTCTGTTTACAACAGCTGCGGTGTCCTGTTCTCATATGCTCAACTTTTGTGGAGGGAGCTGGGAGAGGACTATGGATTATGGTGGACGCGACACAAGCTCCATGCATTAGAGGTAAATTTCTTCGTCAGAACGAAGTTTTCGTTCAGAAGGTTGCGCTGGATAACCCGCCTCGACCACTGGATTCCTTGGATGCGGTGCAGTATGTCGGTGGTTTGGATATTTCAACATGCAAGCAGTCGCCGCAGCTAGCTGTGGTCACTCTCTCAATATTCTCCTATCCAGAGCTAAAGGTGGGCGCTCGTACCTTTTGCTATTTAATTTTCATAGGAGATCGATGTATTCGACAATGTGCAGATCATTACGGAGCCCTACGTGTGTGATTACCTGGGCATTCGGGAATGTAGGCCACTTGTCGATCTGGTGAAGCAGGTAAGAACCCACCTTGAAAATTACGTGCCCCAAGGTATGTCGGGATTATCCAAATCTCACCCCACAAGTGCTACTGGTCGACGGAAATGGGGAATTCCATTCTCGAGGTGAATTGCTAGCCCAGAATTTCAAAGATAAGGCACTTAGGCTGTGGACTGGCTTCATTAGTCGGGTCGCAGACGGGAATCCCGACGGTGGGGATAGCGAAGAATCTGAACGTCTCTTGGCTTGCGGCGAAAGGAGCTTCGAATGGGCAGATCGACAACGCACACAAGGTTGAAAAACCGCGTCAATCCTAATGCTAGTTTAGCTCGTGACCGAAGTTTCACAGGCTATAACCGGAGATGGCTACCAGGCATTCCGATTTTTCGATGCCGAAGTCATGAACATTGGTAAGACAGTCTCCAATCTAAAAATGTCCTGCTTTAGTGCGCGCTGGCGGCTCGAAAATCCCAGTGTTTGTGTCCTCCGGCGGCGGCATCTCGCTGGAAATGGCCACGAAGCTTGTCCTACACTGCTCGCGCGGCAGAGTAGTTGAACCCATTAGATTCGTAAGATATACGTTTGTCCCCCAATCATTCGAAATTCAGGCAGATCTACGCTCCAGAGAACTAGTCAGGAATCTGTATGAAGAAGAATGATCAATTGTTGTTCGTGTGACGGGAACGCAAAGAATATTACGGATATTTATTGATAACAATAAAACAATGTGATGAATTACTTCTTCTTGCCCTTTCCGCCCTTTGGCTGCTCTTCGACCACCAGGGTGTCGTGGCATCTTCCGCAGGTGTGTCGGTTGTTGTGGGCGGCCATGAAGACTCCTCCTCCGCAGTTGGTGCATTCCTTGCGCAGACGCTTGATGCCATCTCCGGTAACCTAGAGAAAAATAGATGCCAAAAAAGGTGCGAAATACCTCGTAGAACTTGAGGACGGCGAGCTTGACCTTCTTTCTCTTATGCTTGTTCTTCTTGGGAGTCGTGTAGACCTTCTTCTTCCTCTTCTTGGCACCTCCGAGCAATCGGAGGGACAGGTGATATGTAGATTCTTCATTCAGGCCCTCGTCATCCTCGAGCTGACAACCTAAATCAAAGCAGAGTCAATAGCCGGATGTAAACGCTTGCTGATCCGTCCTCAAGCGGCATGCCGCTCTCAAGATTCAGCAAGCCGGAGACGTAATCTTCAAAATAGATACCGTTGCTGATGATGCGCTGCTCCTCGACGGGGATTCCCTGCGACTCGGCGAGCTTCAGCTTGAGCGTGGAGACGGTGTCGCATGGCTCGGCCGCGAGCGTGAGGGTGCTACCCTCAAGGGTTTTCACAAATATCATCCCAAGCCTGAAAAGAAAGTTTGTAACCTTGAATTTGAAAAATTTGGAAAGCAACAAGTATAGAAAGCATGAAAGTTAGAATTTGGGGGAAATCGGGAAAGAGTAGGGGAAATAAAATGGTTTCGGCGGAGGGCGATATCGTAACTCGAGGCGCTCCCGGGGCGCGGTATAGCACACAACACCAGGGCGGGGGATTTTCGTGGGCTAATCGCCCCTTTCGCTGGACTTTTCAAGGCTTCAAACCTGACGAAAATTTTTATAAAACCAATTTCAGTTTTATTTCTATAAATTATGTATGCATTAACTTTAACTTTTTAGGATGCGGTTGACGGAGCCGACCTTCCTACGCCGGATCATCAACAGCACCTATCACAGCTTCAAGGTTTTCTGTCAAGCTTTTCCTACCTTTACTGTTTTAGGTTATCCCTAAACCGGACATATGGATGAAGAGGGAGCGACAGAAGCGTTTCGTCGGGGTACGTCTTTTCGGGAACTAGACCATCATGAAATTTAGTGGCAATTCGGTATCAATCGCGACGAATGGAAGCATGGCGAGGCGAAACTCAACAAGCTCTTCCACTACCAACAAATGCACCGCGTGGATGAGCCGAAGCTGGAAAGATTTGTAAGCATTTGATCAAGCTTTAAAAGTCGTTTTTAGTATGCACAGGAGCGAGTCACGGCAGCGCTGGCTGAACACCATATGGAATACAAATATTTCCGCAGCATGCTGGACAAGGTGAGAACTTACTGAGGTTCCTGGAACTTGATTTTAGGCACATATACAACTCGACAACATTGTGCTATCGCAACTTGCCATTTATGAACCCAGGACGTTCCATGTAAGAAATTTTCCCAGCAAGTGCTTTCTCAGACGCGTTTTTAGTATATTTTCGTTTTATGATGTGGAATAGCTTATTGGATGCAGCTAAAATTTTGAACAAGGCTGATCCTTCAAAAATGTTGAAAAAGTTTCTCTGAAAAGGGCGATTTTGCCAATTTTTTCACAACAAAATTCGACGTTTGAAAATATTTTCTCGAAGATCGTGATCATCCGGCATTTTCAAGCATGGGACTCGTTCAGCATTACAAATGACCAGCCATATCACATCGCAAAACTTCATCGCCTAAAAACGGCTTTTTCTAAAAAATTGGCTTGGTTTTCAGAGCCTCGTGACTTTGACAAAAGAGATGATACGCAGAGAAGGCGTCCCTGTGGTCGCAGATGACAAGGAATTTCACACCGAGGTACTCAGCTTTGTCCTCAAGCCATTTTTTTCTTCCTAGGTCCATCTCGACGAATCCCTGTTCGGCGAACCGTTCCCGAAGGCTCGTCGCTACCCACGAGGCAGCGCCGTCAACCATACCACCAAGCCGCGGCGACTTCGCGAGGACGAATATTGATCGAATTCATAACTATCAGTTTAGCTCATGTAGTGTTTTAGGGTGGCTGTTGCTTTTTTATGTTACAAGCCTTATCTGAACTCTGTTGAAATTCCTTTTTATTATATTCTACGGGTATCCATTTTGCTTCAAGATAAATTTTTCTCAGAATATTTTTGCACGCAACTAAGTTGAGGCTTGTGTATCGTGGTTTCGAAGAGAGGGACAGTTACACCGGTAGTAGAAATGAACGAACAGGCTGGTTCTGGAACGAAGGGCAGGAATGAACGGCGGGGCTTTGGTGCTCAGGTACTTTTATAAGACGATGGTGACCTATGGGGCGTCTTTCTAAGGCCTCAAGCGGAAGACGCGAGTTCCGAAGATTTCGTGGTACGGGAAAGAAGCCAAATGCCGGAACGGCCCGCCCTACGCCTCCTTATCAGAAACAAAATTCAAGCAGTGAAATGGAAGGGTCTGTTTATCGAAGTTTCTATTGACAACAATAATAGCTGCAGGAATATGGGTACTTCTGAACAAGGCGAGGTTTTATTGGAACAAGACACCGTGGTTCAGAGGTAATGGTACACTCCAAAGTTTACAATTTTTAGCAGCGTGCCAAAGCCTCCGAAGAAGAGGCCCTGCCGGTTTTTTCGCAGTCGACAAGGATGTGCAAAGGGCGACGAATGCCAGTTCAAGCACACATTACCAAAAGGTATGCATTTGTCCTATTATCAAAAATGTGTTCAGAAAAATTACCGCTCGAAATCGAAGCTGCCCCTGAGGTGCCCGACACCGGGTCGATTCTGCGACAAGCTGCTGTTGAAGTGATTCCGCGAAAAACTCAAGCCTTTGTCCCGATGCGTTTTTGTGTAGGGCTCAAGGACAATGGAAGCGAGGATGCAAAAAAGATCAGAAATGCGGAGATCAATTATTACAAGTAAGGCAATTTCTTGAAGAAGATGCTTTTTCTGAGGCGCCGGTATCCAAGGGGAAAGGTTGACGAGCAGGAAGGGACGACCATCATTCAATTTATTTTCGAGCCAACTGATCCCGCCTGGGTTCGTGAAGAGACATGGACCCTAAATAGCATTTAGACATTTGCGATCAAGAAGATCCACCTGTCGCTAGGAATCCCTGCCGGATTTCCCTTTGAGAAAGTCTTTGCTGCAGTAGATCGCGGAGAAAACCCGGAAATGCCGGACATCCTTTGTGCCTACGTCGAGGAGGCTCTCACGAAAAATATTGAGGTTATTTTCTTACAATGATTTTGATTGGTTTTAGGAACGTTTTGCCCGTATGGAGGCCGCCGATGAATATGAAGGTCTGGCGAAGGTCTTGTTGAAATGGTTAGATACGCACCTTTTCACTTTGTTTTTGGAGGGGCTGCGGCGAACAAAATTGGTAAGCGATTTTCGGAGGGATTTTATCATTTTTTTTAGGTGCTGGATGCTAGCGCAGCCGGAATTAGCCTGGTTTTAAACAAGAAGCAGGAACAGGTTGGCTAAGCTGTGTGGGTACAACGATCTTTTTTTCCAGACAGCGCCTGTGGAGGAGACTGAAAATCTGCGAATCGACGAATATTCAGAAGACGAAGAAGAGAGTTCGGACGAGGATTCTGACGGACGTGATGATGACGGGATCGGCGAAGAAGAGGGGCCTTCAGAAGATCTTGCTCCGATTGATACTGATCAGCAAATGGACCGGCTCCCGAAATTGCCTATCGAGGTGTGTAGAACCGCCTCCCACTCCCACCCTCCAGTTTTAGGTGGTCTTGGCTTGGTCCGATGCTTCCAAAAACATCGCTTCCATCTGTGCCGTGTCGATGCAACTGATGGTCCGTTGCACGCGGTGTGCTGAACACAATGATCTTGACGTGTCCGTGAGGGATTCGGCCGTTTTTGGAAGGTGCAAACGATGCAACAACGCGTACTCCGTTAGGTCCGTGCTACAACATTCCTCTGTATCTATTTTTGTTTTATAGACTTCGCGGAGAGCTCGTGCACGAGAATTCTAATCTGCTAGCGCAATGTGATTCGCGTGCTTGCCGACCGATCGATTTTATCCTCCCGAATTCGAGGTGCACCCTATTTTTACGGAAGTTAAATCAGTGATTCAGGCTGAAGTTCGTCTGCTTTGCATGCAACAAGGAAGATGACGTACAGGTATAATTCAGCCCTCTGATTTGATTTCGCCATTTAATTTAGAAAATCGGCTTTGGTCAGCCGCACAAGTCCTGGTGCCGCAGCTGCCACACCTCCTGTGCATTCACCATCTCGGCCATCCGCTTCCAGGGCGACTTTTCTCGAACAATCGGCAAGGTTAGGAAAAAATATGCGCTCCTAAAACAAATTTCAGGATGAACAAGCTTCTAAAGCTTTGCCGGTGGCTAAAAAGAAGCTCGAGAAAGGAGTTGGCATTGTGGCTGGGCAACCACTGCCGAATCTGGGCGCTTGCGTTCACTATAAGAAGAGTTACCGCTGGTTCAGGTAGATAATTCCGTTTACACAAAAGTTATCTTTAGGTTCCCATGTTGTGGAAAAGTTTATCCATGCGATGACTGCCACGGAGAGAAAGAGAAGGATCACGAGATGAAGCTGGCCAATCGGATGATCTGCGGCCATTGTTCCGCTGAACAGGTATTTGGCTTTTTGTTTTTCTATTACTTTTTTTAGCCTTTCGTGAAGAGCAAGCCATGTAGCAATTGCCAGCAGATGGTCACCCGGTCGAAATCGCAGTTTTGGGAAGGTGGAAAGGGCTGTCGGGATCAGAATAAGATGAACAGGTGTGTTTTCTCGGTCATTTTCGGTACTGGTTTGTTACGGGGGGGGGGCTAACTTCCTTTATTTGTGCTAACCTGCATAGCACAAAAATAGAAACGCTTTTTATCGTGTACCAACAAGTAGAAAAAGATTTACAAAATTTGAAAAAGGCGGCGCTTTTCAAAAAACATGGTAGCTTCGTAAAAAAGCGCTAATAAAATGGGTTCTTTTATGTTGGGTAGCCTACGGAAATACAGCAAAAGGTTGGTCCTCACTTGAAGCCCCCCCACTAATGAACCAGCACCAATTTTTTCACGCCAGGCGGAATTCTGATGTAAATATATAAAAAGCTGCGTTTCAGGAACGACGCACGAAAGCACGTGAACAGTCGCCAAAAGACGGTCTCCAAGAAGAAAGTTGGTGATCTGGTCGTCAAAAAGAAGCCCTGATACCCCGATTTGCATCGCGTGATTTGTGAAACTGTGATTGTAATAAATTTGCATAGATCATTTCCCGAAAGCGCACTTTGTCCCGTTCCCGTTACACTTACTACTTTTCTAGATCAGCGATGCGGCTCGTTTATTTGCTTCTCTCACTATTCTCCGTCGGCGCAGCGCTCAAGTCGTTCCTGGAAGACGTGAGAGGAGGCGGATGGGGCGTGTAATGTCGTTTTTAGAGCCTCGGTGACTACTGCCACGAATGCGAGTACCCGCACTTCATCGGGCCCCGGCCTGGTTGGGAGATGTTCATGTGTAGAAGCAGTTTTTTGAGATCCGTTCACGACGCTGTCCTGCATCCACCAAGTGATGCCGGAAACGCCGCGTGTCCGTGTGCAGTACATGCTTCGCGAACATCCGATCTGCATCACCATGCTTGTCTTGTAAGGGTTTTTGGTACTGGACTGTTAGCAGGGGGAGCTAAGGTTTCCCAGTACCCCTGTACGGTCCTCTGACATAATATAACCCATTTTTATAGCATTTTCCACACTTTTTAGATGTAAAAAGCTAAAAATTGTCGACAATTTTGGAATTTTTGGTCAGAATTGTATGAAAAATGGCCCAGTAAGGTAAAAAGTTGAATTTTCTAGGCTGTGAAATGTTTTTTTTTTAATTTGGAATAATCAAAAATTATCTAAAAATTATTAGACATAGTTTCCCCCGCTAACAGTCCAGTGCCTTACAATACCTCAGTGTGAAGTATGTGAACGTACTTTTTTAGCGATGGACTGATGCCGGTCTACCAAATCCGAACCGGCGTCCCGGCCAGCAGTCTCCCATCCAAATGCTATGAATACCGTGAGAAAGGAGGGTAATCTACGCTATTTTGTATGATTTTCACCGCTTCTTTCCAGCTATTACATCCCGGATTTGACGATGAACATCACCGTCAGCGAGGGCGTTCAATTGGACTGGCAATCCGAAAAGGACAACCCACAAAACGTTTGAAATTTGAAAAATTACTAAATTCTTTTTAGTTCCACGATTTTATCGCCCTTCGCCTGCACGGGGAGGGGCCGGTTAGTGTCATATTTTCTGCAATGTAATTGCCATGTTTAGAACAAAGAATTCACCGGCGCCGTGATGTGCTGCGGGACTACGCTGTGCAACGCCGACGACGTCGAGTTCTACCTGGTGTGTATTCTATCGAAAAACTAAGCTCTTTTATTCCAGCCCACCCGCATCTCGCAAGGATATGAGCGCGAGGCCGATTGGCGCAGGTCGATGCCGTTCGTGCTCGTCATCGCCGTGCTCGCCATCACGCTGTGGCCGCATCTCACCAAAGTTCAGGTGAGCTTCTCCGCCGCTTGCATCATATCTCCCGGTACTGGCCTGTTAGCGGGGGGGGGAGCAATATATACTATATAAACATTTTCTGTATTCTATATAACCATTTTCCCTTTTCCAGGAAGAGAATCGCGTGACGGCCCTCGAGAAGATCGAACGCGCCATGGTGCTCTCCGACGACTGGTTCGGCTTTCCTGCTCCAGTCGTAGGGATGGCAGGCTATTTTTTTAAACGCCATTCTCAGTGCATTCTGCACCCCGACGCCGAGGCGGTCAGCGCCAAGTTCTACCCGCCTATGACGGAGCGCGCGCTGCGCCGGATCCGTGCCGAGAAGGGGTGTCGTGACAAGGAGGCGCGCGACTACGCGGCTTTCCGCCGACTTCAAGCCGTCCTCCGCGGGCTTGAGAAGGCACCACCGCGAGCCCGTGACAGTTCGGTAAGGGGTAAATTCCGTTTATTTTAAGCCGACGTTTAGATATCGGAAAACGTCAATGTGCAACCACCGACAGCCATCCACACGTTTTTCATTGACGATACCGTTGTGTGCAAGGTAAGTGGGTATTGTTTGTCATTACCGGCCTCTAGACAATCCGCCGCATCAACACCCGTGTCAAGGATCTGGCGGCCCGTCTGATCGAGCACGGCCCCTATGAGTTCGAGTTCAGCGTCATTGAGGTTGTCGGCAGCCATTAGCTCTCAATGCCTCTTTAGGTGGCTGACCTGTTTGATGACGTCATCCGTATCCTGGAGAACGACCACATGCTGCTCGAGCTGCCGGCCGACATCATTGTCATTGGCAACCTGAACGGCGACTACGCGTTTGTCCAGCGTCCAGCCACATAACCCCGTTTTAGCCAGCTGTTCCGCATCTTCAACAAGTGTGGCTGGTTGCCTGACAGGAAGTGGGGCTGATGATGTAATACTTTTCATTTCGTGTTTTAAGATATCTGTTCCTGGGCGGACTTACCGATCCGAAGGTGCGCTACTCGTTGGAGACGCTGTGTCTGCTGCTGGCGCTCAAAGTTGTTGCTCAGGCAAATTTTTTTGATCTTCCATTTTAGCGTCGCTTCCCCCAGCAAATATTTTTCCTGCGCGGCACCACCGAGACCGAGGGCCTGGTTGTGAAACATCGCATGGGATTCCCGGAACGCTTGGCCAACGTCGTGAAAACGGTCTCCAAAGAGGTCTGCTTGTTTTTGGGGCTTTCTCGGCTTGGTGTTGGTTCGTTAGCATGGGGGTGCTAATTTTGTCGCTTAGTTTTACAAATTTTAATTCCGTAAGCGCTTTGTCCTGAAATAGAGGTTATTTAAGACCATTTTACGCCCTTTTTAAAAATTTCACGAAATTTTTCGGAAATTTGAGGAAGCGGAAACTACTAAAAACTATGAAAACAAGGTTTATGAAACCCCCCCCCGCTATCGCACCAGAACCATAGGTGCTTTTACTTGATTCAGGTGCATGCTCGTTTCCCGGTTGCCGCGATCATTGCCGGGCGAATCTTTTGTGTCCACGGCGGTATCCCGCCTCACGTAGGCATTTCCACCTGATGTACAACATTGTGATTTTTAGCTCTCACTCTCCTCAATTCGCGCCCGTCCGAAGGGAAATGCCACGGTGAAGGACAGCCACCTCGAGGCCTCGCTGATCTTCTCCCTCCCCGACGCCCACCGCACCAACAAGATCCCGGGCGGTCGCGGCTGGCGCTTCGGCCCCGACGTGATCTCGAGCTTTTTCCGCAAGAATCCCAACCTCAAGGCCATGATCCGGGCCCGCAATCCGGTCGACTCGGGGCTTCAGGTATCTCAAATTTTCATTCTTTCAAGGGTACGATGAGATTTCGCTGCCCTTTTGCGTACTGAATTCTTAGCGAGGGGAAAAACTATTTTCGTACCTAACCTTGTGCGGTTCTATCAACTATAATAAAAAAGTTGAGACGTCCGTCTGTGTGTGTGTGAAGCCGAATTCAACTCGAAGGGGAAGGAGCTAGAGCTTAGGTCTCTTCGGATTCGGATAGAGCGTGGTCAGAAACCCCCAAACTGATAAAAAATTATGAAAAAATTTTAGTTTAAATTATTAAAATTAACTTTGAAAGTTTTTTCCTTAGTAAAAGGGGTGGGGGAAGGAGGTTGGCATGATTTTCGCATAGTGATCCAGGTGGCGCGCGTTTCGTGGATGAAAATTTTCACGGGGATTTCTTTTCTTTTTTTCTCTCATTCCATCCGGTCGGTCGTTATTTTTGTTTTTTAAGGGGATTTTGGCTAGGAGAGGTATCTAAAGCCATCAGGAAGGTATTTAGGTAGTTTTTGAAGGGGATTTCAGCCATGGGGGTATCTGAAGCCATCGGGAAAGTATTTAGGTAGTTTTTGAAGGGGATTTCGGCTATGGGAGGTATCTTAAACCATCGGGAAGGTATTTAGGTAGTTTTTGAAGGGGATTTCAGCCATGGGGGTATCTGAAGCCATCAGGAAGGTATGGACGTAGTTTTTTAAGGGGGTTCCGGCCATGGGGGGTATCTGAAGCCATCAGGAAGCTATTTAGGTAGTTTTTGAAGGGGATTTCGGCTATGCGGGGTATCTGAAGCCATCAGGAAGGTATTTAGGTAGTTTTTGAAGGGGATTTCGGCGATGGGAGGTATCTTAAACCATCGGGAAGGTATTTAGGTAGTTTTTGAAGGGGATTTCAGCCATGGGGGTATCTGAAGTCATCAGGAAGGGATTTAGGTAGTTTTTGACGGGGATTTCGGCTATGGGAGTTTCTGTTTATGAAAGTAGCGAGGGATGTGGTGGTGTAGAATATGGAGGGTAGCCCGAAGGCCAGTCGATTACAGTCGCGAAGCGGCTGTAATCGGCTGGTAAGTTAATATAACCCATCTTTACAACCTTTTACATGGTTTTTAGATAAAAAGCTCATATAAACTTGAAAATTTGGTGCTTCCTGGTTATCGGGGGTCGGTTATTTTAGCGGGGGTCGGTTGCGAACTTTTTTCTATAATATCGTGCGACTCGGCTAATTAAAAACTGGCCGTTTTTATAGACTTGTGCGCCGTTTGAAATGGTTCTGGACTGTTAGCGGGGGAGGAGACATTAAGAAAAACGTCATAAAACATGTTGAAAAAAAATTTCTTTTTCGGTCTAACGTATATGAAAATGGCTAAAACCGCGCTATAACCCTAGATTTCGTGACTATAGGATAAATATTTTTATAATTTTTGATTATCGGAAGCTACTAAAAACAGTATTAAAATAAAACAATTTATCACTAGGCAGGTATAGGCTAAACAAAAAGAAGATGCCAACCGACCCCCGCTAAAATAACCGACCCCCGATAACCAGGAAGCACCGAAAATTTTTTGACAAAGAATTATCTTTCCCCCTCGATTGGTAGCCCCCCCTGCAAAGAGTCCAGCACATACTTTTGCACAAAACACTTCCGGAAGCCATTTTTTTCACAAAAATTATGTTCAAGTGGCGATGGGCTAGATGTCCCGAAAAGTTTTCGTAATTTTCAAAAATATGACTTTCAGGTGTCGAAATGCGAGGAGTACCCGGTGTACACGGTCTCGTCGCAAATGCTGCAGAAGCGCGGTGTTCGCTCGGGCTGCATTCTCTACGTGTCGCCGGGCGGGATTGAGGCCGCCCGCTTCACCTCGCATGACCAGCATCCGGGTTCGAGATTTTCAATAGGTTGCATAACTTTTGTTTTTTGCAGATAGGCGCGCGCCGACGGCGAAGGGTAAGTGATTGGGCTGTGGGTGGATGAATGGCCATCGCAGAGGCCGAGACTTGGATGGACCGCACGGCCCATGGATGGCCGAGGAGGGGCAGTGCCGTGCCCCGCTCGTACGACACCAGCAAGGAGGAGAAGGATGGCGAGAAGTGAGCTGACTTTTAAAAAGTTTCATCAAGATTTAGTCAATTTCATACATTTTTGGCCAAGAAATCAGAATTTTTCCAAACTATTGGAATTTATTTAGTGTTTCTATATTAGAGTTGTTATAACCCAAACAAAACAAGGCCTCAAACAAGCTTGTTTGAACAATTCTGTTTGATAGGGATTTTGGGCGGAATCAACTACCGTTTTTCAGGAAGGGCAACAAGGCCAGCGCCTAGATGCGACCGGGCCTCAGAGATGGAACAGTGATACCTCCTCTTCTCCTTGACCACCTGTGCCTCCACGCTTTTTGATAAATAAATATTTGCCCTCGGCATTTCGTGCGCTTCAGTTGTGATCAGTTCACCGTGTTAGTGGGTGTGGATACATCCGTATATTGTAGTTTTTTTGGAAAATTTTTGCTTTGGTATTTTTAGTACGTTTAGGCTTTCTACAAGTTTTTAGCAATCAAAAAGCGAAGACATTTAAAAAATGCAATGTTTATTATGAACAGGAAGGGATATACGGAACACAAAAATTAGTTTTATCTTTACCCCCCCCCTGCTAAAAGGGCAGTACCGCAAATTTTTCGAAGTCCCGATTTCTGGTATGAACAGTGATATTTATGAAAACGCGTTTATTAGCTGGAAACAGAACGGCGCTCCGCGCTTGGTTGTGGCGCATGGAGTTTTGATTCAGAATTTGTGATTTTCTTCAGAAATGTATGGATTCTCGTGAAAAATAAGTTTTTTTCAGGCCAATACGAGCAAGAAGCCGCGTCTAACCCTGGTGAGTTTGACAACCCTGGGTATTCTAGTGGTTAAACCATCAAATAGGCTTCCCAACTATTCCTCAACCAGCCGCTTCCAGCGGCTTCGCCGCTGCAAGCGGCTGGATTTCGGGCTACCCCTTGTGCGCTCCCCTCCCCTTCGCCGAAACGCGCGCGACCTGGCTCACTATGTCCAAAATCACTCCAACCTCCTTCCCCCACCCCTTTTACTAAGGAAAAAACTTTCAAAGTTAATTTTAATAATTTAAACTAAAACTTTTTCATAATTTTTTTATCAGTTTGGGGGTTTCTGACCACGCTCTATCCGAATCCGAAGAGAGCTAAGCTCTAGCTCTTTTCCCCTTCGAGTTGAATTCGGCTTCGGACGGACGGACGGACGGACGGACGCGTCAAGAAAATTATTATAGTTGATGGCCGCGCGCGGAACAAGGCAAGCAGGCTGTTCTTTATGATTCTAGCATAAAAACTTATAGTTTAAGGACTCAAAATGTAGGAAATGATCTCACAGAAACAAAAATGAAGGCGAAATAGCGGAATTCTACTTTAGGAAGAAGTTATGAATTTTACAAAGTTTTTGCTTCGGGAGCCTACAAACGTTTCGACCATTTCGACCCGGGTCGAATAACAACTCTAACTAAAACTAATTAAATAAACATCAACTATAATAATTTTGCTGTGGTGTCTGTGTGTGTGTCTGAAGCCGAATTCAACTCGAAGGGGAAAGGAGCTAGAGCTTAGCTCTCTTCGGATTCGGATAGAGCGCCATCAGAAACCCCCAAACTGATTAAAAAATTATCAAAAAGTTTTAATTTAAATTATTAAAATTAACTTTGAAAGTTTTTTCCTTAGTAAAAGGGGTGGGGGACGGAGGTTGGGCTGATTTTGGACATAGTGAGCCAGGTCGCGCGCGTTTCGTGGATGAAAATTTTCACGGGGGATTTCATTTCTTTTTTGCTCTCATTCCATCCGGTCGGTCGTTATTTTCGTTTTTTAAAAGGATTTCGGCCTTAATAAATGCCTTAATAAAACGAGTGGGGGCCCCTCTCCGCGGAGGTCACGCCCCCTTTCCCTTCGCCCCTCTTCCCCAGGCCCCCTCGCGCGACTAGATAGCTTTTTTAAGTTACTTTAATACTTTTTAATACTTTTAAATTATGTTAATTAATTATTTAAATCATCTAAAGCCATCAGGAAGGTATTTAAGTAGTTTTTGAAGGGGATTTCAGCCATGGGGGGTATCTAAAGCCATCGGGAAGGTATTTAGGTAGTTTTCGAAGGGGATTTCAGCCATGGGGGGTATCTGAAGCCATTAGGAGGGTATGTAGGTAGTTTTTGAAGGAGATTTCGGCTATGGGAGTTATCTGAAGCCATCAGGAATGTATTTAGGTAGTTTTGAAGGGGCGGGGCCTCGCTAAGCCGCTTCTTCCATTCTTTTCCCCCAAGTAACCGCAAGGGGATCTCTGGGTCCCGCCACGAATACACTGCCCGGTGAGGGATTTCCCCAGCACCCGTGCTACAGTGAAAATGGGTGGTGTTTCATCATTGGTTGTTCATTTTTCTTCGATCTTTGCTCGATCTTCTTTTTGGCTTTATCGAACCCTTCCCGCTTCTCGCTTCCGTCAAGCTACATTTTCTTACATATTGCTTTTCCCTGACGCCCGGAGTTTTCATTGTGGTTTTAAATTTCATTTTCTAGATGTCATTATCAAGAATCATCGACGCTGCTTATGATGACGAGGACAAGGCCGAAGCCAATGCAGAGCAGCTTGGTTCCGAAGCAAAATTCGACGACGAAGGAGAGAAGACCGGACAAGGAGTGGCAGCATCATGCATTGCCGTAGCACCGGACCCAACGCCAGTTCAAGAAGAAGCCGTGGACAACTTCCCGAAGACGAAGAGAAGCTATGACGAGTACCTGAAGCAACGAAGAGCCACCCTCCAGAGGATCCGAATCCAACGCAACAAGAGGAAAGCGTTGTCGCTCCAACGAGCGCGTGCGTCGAACCAGGAAGATGCTTTGCTCCGCAAACATCTTGGCTTGCAAACTGGCCGCGACAACGCACAAAAGGAATTTGCCCGGGTCATTGGCGAATATGAGGCATCGCTGAAAAAATCGATTGACGACATCACAGCGACCCGGCGTTGGCAAGATCAAATTGATCACCTTGAAGCGGAAAACGAAAAAGCGGCTGAGGAAGACAATAAGCTTTTAACTGAACTAGATGATGATGCTAATGCTGATGATTCGTTTTAACTTTTTAATAATAAATCTTTGTACACCACTGCGAATGTTTCAACAAACTGTCGTTTCGCATGACAATATTTTCTCATGGTCGTTCGTCCTCCTGTTTTGTCTGTGGGGCGCGTTTCGGGAAAAGGGCAGGGGCTAGGTCCCGCCACGAATCACCTGTCCGGTGAGGCTCCAGCCCAGTCCCGTGCTACAGGGAAAAGGGGTGGGTCTTTATAAATTGTTTTCATTTATCTTGCTTTTCTGGATGTTTTCTTCTTCTCTCTTCTCTAACTGCTAGATTTTGTTGCATATTTCATTTCCATAACTTCTCGATTTTCCATGTCTATGACTAATTTGGAACTTTTTTTTAGGCAATCCTCATTGGCTGCGCTATTGCAAACCGGATCGGGCTGTGCGATTTCGCATTGCCGGTAAAGTTGAGCTTACATATCTTATATTTCATTGTTTAGTTGCACAAACAACCACCAGCGCTGCCACACCACAAGGATTCCTTTGGTCCTCACCCAGGGCAGTGCCATTCAGGTACTTTTTGGACTTTGGTACTTACGGCTTCCATTTTTAGGTCGGTGCACGGCAACACTAGAGCTCGGCCTCGACGACTCACCATTGTCAGGTATACGCACGTTTGTTTCTATTACATTCTAATGCCTAGGTGCCAACGAGCGCACAGCCAACTTCAAACACCAAGCCCACGCGCGCGGCCAATACACATTCCCGGTAAGGTTCAGCTTGCATTTGTTATCTTCATTGCTTAGGTGCAAAACAAGACAAAGCAGACTGCAGCCACCTCCTTCCAAGTCATCGAGATCCTCAAGCTCCTCCATCAGGTAAAACTCCTTGGATCGATCGATTACGTTTTCCTTTTTTAGGCCGGTGCCAGCAAGAATCCACGGGCGATCCCTCTACATTCCTCACTGCCAGGTAAACCCACCTTTATTTTTCTTTCATATCAATACCTAGGTCCAAAACTACAAAAACCATCAAGACCTCGCTCTCTGCCATTCATTTGCCGGTAAAGCTGTGTTTACTGCCCTTATATGCCATGTTTAGCTGCCAACAACAGTAAGCCTTCCAGTGTCCAAACGCTTCCTCCGTCGCGCACTACCCGGGTGAACCCTTCCGGTAAAGCCTTTGGATCTATCGTTTACGAGTTCCATTTTTAGGCCGGTCCAAAGAAAACATTCAACGGCGAGCTTTGACCTCCACATAACCAGGTAAGCTCGCGCTTAGTTTTCTATTAAATTGCATGTTTAGGCACAAACAACAACGACCACTTCTCAAGGTAGATGCCGCGCGCCAGGTTGACAGCCGCGGAACGTGAGGCTGCCGCAGCGCGTCGCCGGGAGCAACAACAGGTACGCAGGGCTGCCGAGTCACCGGAGGCGGCAGCTGCTAGGAGGGCTGCCAATGCAGCGCAACACCAGGCCCGAAGGCGTGCCCTGTCGCCCGGCACGGCGGCGCCAATTCGGCAGGCGAATGCCGCGCAACATCAGGCTCGAAGGCGTGCCCTGTCGCCCGGCACGGCGGCGCCAATTCGGCAGGCGAATGCCGCGCAACATCAGGCCCGAAGGCGTACCCTGTCACCCGGCACGGCGGCGCCAATTAGGCAGGCGAATGCCGCGCAACATCAGGCCCGAAGGCGTACCCTGTCGCCCGGCACGGCGGCGCCAATTCGGCAGGCGAATGCCGCGCAACATCAGGCCCGGAGGCGTACGATGTCACCCGGGACTGCGGCGCAAATTCGCCAAGCGAATGCCGCCCAACATCAACAACAGCGCGCCCAGCTCACACCGGTGCAAGCAACAGCCGTCTATCAACAGCGACAAACAATTCGGCAGCAACGAGCGGCGGCTGCCATACGCCCAGGACGGGATCCGGCCTCGCGCCCCGCCCAGCACTATCTCGGAGCTATGCTCCGCCTCTGCCTTGGCTGCAATGCCTTGCATTTCGAAACCGAGGGCAATGGCCGGCGCCCACAATCCTTCCAAGCATGCTGTGGCGGTGGGCAAGTCATCGTCGACCCCTTTGGAGACACGCCACCAGAACTCCGTCTTCTATTCGAACGGGACCACAATGCCGGAGCAAACTTTCACCAAAACATCCGTCTGCTCAACGGAGGCCTGGCAATGGCGTCAATGGCCGGAGATTTTCAATCCCCGCCTGGACATGGACCATATGTGTTCCGGATCCACTCGACG